GAAATATCAGGGTTATACTTGAAGTAATGGTAAATCTGAGTTACAGCCTTGTAGATCCACATAACTTATCATTACAATTATCGATTGATGTAATCCAAATGGAGAGTAATAAGCAACAAGCATACAGTATTTTGAAATTAGAAATTGTTTTCAATTTACTCGACTATAGTACTTTCTATAGTACAGTATGCATCTAAATACAGTATTGCATTGCATATCTCATGAGGGCAAGAATAAAAAAAAAAAAATAACTGCCCAAATATTCAATTCCGTCCATAGAGACGATAATGTAAACAATTATAATAATTATATTATTAATCCTCTGATTTCTCTGTGAATCGGTTCACTTCGGGTCTAAAAGTGGTTATCTTCTTATTTATATGATTACATTATATATCTCAGCATGATAATAACTGGTTAAGCCGGTTGGCCGAGTAGTAGTCAGAACTACTGTGCAGTACAGTACAGTACTGAATACTGTACTGTACTGTACAGTACAATGCTACAATCTACAGTACTGTACTGTACCCTTTGCATTTTACCGCGTCATAATACTGTACAGTACAGTACAGTAGACTGTAGACTACGCAATTTTACAATGCATTGCGTTAGCAGTTTCATCAGCTTTGAATGGGTACAGCCCATGACAAGCCCTTAGGGTTCAAGCATACTCTGCTACTGTACAGTGTGTCTATATCTTACTTGGCAATGCGGTAAAAGCAAGACAAATCATTTTTGATTGTTTTTCTGCTATCAAAGTGCACATTGTTACTTCTTTCTGAAACGTTGATGTACCGGCAAGCGCAGTGCTTTATAAAGGATCACAATTTTGATTCATCTTGAGATCGCATCAAGAGAAACCATGGCCAATTTAGCTCCATCTTACGTCTCGGTTCACTCTCTGAAGCATGTTGAGAATAGGGTCCGATCCGAAAGTTTATTAGACCAAAACTTTCCTATTAATCAAGGACGTACGTCTTTTTCAGTTTGATGTTTCTGTAGATGCTTGTATTTTCATGTTTTAAAAGTGATCGCAGCCATATCAAAATGACTCACAGCAATCAAAAAAATTTGCAGGATTAATTACCGTTGATTATGATCCTGTTTGCATTATTTTATTACCTAATGATTTTTGTCAAATCAATTTGTACTTTTGTTAGTACTGTATGTTGAAAGCTGCAATTATGTTCATATACTATATGTACTGTGCAGACAACACAACCATTATCAGTCGATTTATCGGATTCTTATTTTATTAATTATAGAAAATTTACCAAGTAAGCAGCCATTGGGTCATTTTGGCAGCTTGTCGCTTTCACAAAGTTCCATCTCCAAACTGTCTGTTACACCAAAAGATGGTTTATGGAATTCTTTCAACGAATTGGGATCTCGAAGACCGAGATCTGGCTCGGCCGTCACTCGTTCAAGCAAGGTAAGGCTCTGCAATAACTACTTTCAAAATTCGACCGTGAGAACAAGCCTTGCAACTAAACAGTGATGTACACATAGACATTAAAACTTCGGATCCTATAAAATCGACTTGATCCAAAACCTCTAGTACGATAATCGTGTACGTGCAGATTTCTGCAATTGTAATATTTATTATTTATGTAACATATCTACCATATATTGTACAAGTGTATATGGTGCTATAAATTTAAACATTGAACAGGTAGATAACTATACTGTATGTAGTCATCTAGTCACAACATTATTACGTCTTCTCAGCCTTCTTTGAGCTCCGTAGTAATAATAATAATAATCAGTTGCAGATTACTGATTACTGTGCTGTATAGTGTACAGTACAGTAAGTATAAACCATGACAATTTTTCTTGAATCTGTCGTAACCAATGCCAAGGTCATGATCGATATTTATTTCTTTTCCATTTTATCACATTGTAGTAACATATTTACGTACTGTAATTATTTGTTGATTCATCTGGCGTTTTGATACTATTTTTTTAATTGGATCCTGCTGTAAATTTAGAAGTTTCTGCTAGTAGCACTATACTGTCCACTTAGCGAACTTCAGCTGAAGTGCCCATCAAGTCCACAACACTTGACTTTCACGTAAAGTGAAGTTTCAAAATCCATCTGCACACGTTGCCTAGTACATACTGTTTAGTCTGTGTACAGCACCTATGTCACTCATACAGTACAAGTTACTGCCGCAGCAGTTTACGTAGTACAATAAGAACAAAAATGACGAATTTGACTTTACCTAGATCAATTTAGAGCGGATCTAATATTTTAAAAAGTACAAACAAGAATTGGTTCAAGCCGATTTCGGAATCATAAAAGTTCCATTTATTTTCTAAGCAATCTACTGTACACTGTACACTGTACAGTAGAGTACTGTATACTGTACGGATAGCAGCTCAAGTGCGTCCTCCTTGATAAGGTTTTACGAATATAGTATACAGATAAACGCATTCTAATAAATTGGACTGTAAATTGCAATAGAAAGTTAATCAATCTCGCAAAGCATGAGCTTAAAAAGCCTTGCATCATTTATACAGTAGAATTGGTGAGGAAAAATTACGTAAGAAAATTTTGTTTTTTGGTGTGTAAACCTAATTATCTCTTCATCTGTATAATGTACATTACAATGTGTGGGCTGTTGTTCAAACACTACAATAAGTGTAGTCTACTGTTCAAATACACCGGTACAGCATAGTTCTACCATACCATACTGCGGTTACATACTATTCTGTCATCGCTTTAATTGATGCACTACTTAACCTCTTTGTCATGCCGCTCCAACAAAAGAATCACCACGACGTCAATGCGTCAGTGCGTGATTGAATCGTGCTGCAGTGACTGTGCCTTGACTTCACTTGTTGCATTGGGACTCTAGTCATATACTACTGTACTGTATATACGCGTACGTCGGTACGCGTATACAGTAACATTAGACAGCAGAATTGTCATTCAATCGATAGAGCTTACTTTCAATACTTGGTTATTAAATCCTATCAATTTTATTATTATCAATGTCTATATTCAAAATTGGGTATCTTGTCCGAGCTTGTATTGCTATTTTTAAGTACGAGCATATTAAAACATATTGATATTTTTTATCTTTTTACCTTCATTAGGGTTTGTGATGGTTAGTGAACGGATACTACCAACAACGCCGGTGGTATTCCCGCATAGAATAATAAAATAAAGTAAAAATAAATAAATCAATTAGTATATTCCAATCACGGAATATTTTGGTAATGATAGCTCCAGCGAGTAGTCCCTGATAAAGTGATTCTACCACGATGCCCTTCTTATCAAATTTCGACCGAAACTTTTTTTTCCTATCGTAAGATTAAAAAATGACTTCAAACTTTTTGCGATGTTAGTTACTATCGTAGCTATCGTAACTAACATAAAATTACGTGATATCTTCTTTTATGATGCTCTGTAGATATATGATTTTTATAATACTGTAGAAAAATTTTACGTGATGAAATGGGATTTACAACAGTAATTGGCTAGAGCTTCAGAAGCGTTGCCCTCATAAAAATGATAGTATTAAGATTTATTATATTATATAAATTGTAAAATTAGAAAAATACAGTTAAACCAAATAATTTCGACTAAAATTTCACTTTTTTAACGCCTTGCCATTGCCTAATTTAAGAAATATTGAATGCGCGTTGATATCATGCCAAGATTTAAAAATTTTAAGTACTGTATACGCGTATATACTGTATGTTCTATTAATTAAGCTAGAATTCTTGTGAAGAACTTTATCAATAAAATAAAACATCTTTTGGTGCATTCTAGCAATTTGTAAAATTATTTTACATTCAATAACGCCCATGTATGAATATGCATAATGTAAAGGAGTATAAGCGTTTCCAATTGCGATGATAAAATGCGGTTATAGAATAGCATCATATAATGGTAAAATGAGGTAATTTTAATGGATAATGGCATCATAAATTGTGTAGTTACGATAGATATCATGAATATGCGTTGAAAAAATAATGTACGCGTATTTCATCAAAACATCAACCTGTAAGTAAAGAGACACACCCTACAAACCCTAGTTATAATAACAACATGAAACAAAATTTTTTGCAGTATGCGACGCTCGCTACTTTAAAAATTTCACATCTGTACAATACCAGCGTAAAGCATATGAACATCATATGCGTTTTATAATGCACTACACCGTAATCAGGGTTGAAATCTTTGCTGAATTATTATGTAGATGTTACATTCTAAAGTCCAATCGAAGTTGTACCATTAGATAGAATTATCATCCATAATAATGCAATAAATTTATTACAAAGTTAACAGTCTGAGACGAACAGCACGGTTATAATTTTAAAAATTAATTTATTCTTGTATTCTGAACCTTAATCCAAATTTATCATTTTCCTGAATCACTACCTGCTAACTTAAAGTTCAGTCATGATACATTTACCACAACGATTCAAAGTCTCGTCGCAAATTAACAACTACTTTTTGATCGATGTTCTAAATGTACAACGATTTATTGAATTTGCTTTCCTTTTCATAGATACTCTATTCAATATCACCCTCCAATAGCAGTAATTGAGGTTGGTCATTTCTATAAATTCGTTATATTTGTACCAACGTTAGTTTCATATCAAGTAAACTTCGACATATACTATGTCTGTTAATGGAGAAACATTTACAGTATATTAAATCTTATATCGACAGTTTTGGAGCATCGAGGTGAACTGTGACATTCCTGATTACATACAGTATGCCATCGCCAATCCTATTTCTGAAATACTGTACTGTACTGTGATACTGGACAATTTAATTGAAGTAAACAGTCAAATTATACTGTACACGCTTTATCTGACTATTGTCCAGTATCTGTAGTAAAAATGATAAACTTTAAGACACATTTCTATAGTATTCCGATCAAATTATATTTATAATAATAATATACAATGATTGCGTTAAGTTATTATATATATACAGTATAATATATTATACATGCGCGTACATTGGTACATATCAATGCTGTCTATATAGCAAATTGACGAATAGCCATTAAAATAAATGGAAATGGTAAATACAAGTGATATAGCCTTAACGATAAGGCATGCGTTTTTAATTTGAAGTTACTTTTATTTCCTGAAAGTAATCCACCTTGTAAACTGGAACATTGATTACATTGAGGATAAAATACTTGTTGCTCTCCCTTCCTTAGTAGTGTATTCGGAGGAATATGATCTCCAAAATAGAATTTACTTCTTCTACTTCCACAGGTATGGCATCCGTATTTTCGCCCGAGCGAGGTAAGTAACCATTTTTCTTTCTTTGTGGCATACATCTGTCCCTTGGCAGGTATACAAGAATGTGCAAAAGCTCCTGCTTTGAAAAAGCTACTTGGTAATACAGATTTGAACCGACCCCCAGCAATTTTAAAAGTAATGCCAGCAGCTACAGTATAGAACCCTAAATCAACGGGAGAAAATGAGTAGCGTAAACTAATTTCTTTTCTGGTATCTTTCTTTGTTGCTAGGGAGTTTTCCAGTCGTTGATAAAATAATGAAGCAGATATAGAGGCGATTGACGCAACTGTAACCGAAGTGGCAACAGCTAGTGTGCCAGAAACAGATGATACCACTGGAATTGAGCATGATAATCTTAATGGGCTGAACAGAACTATTTGCAAAGTTCCTAGTGTTGCAGGAAATGTACAAAAGCCTACTAATGAGCCAACTCCTACCGATCGTAAGCTGATCAATTTTACCGGAGTGCCTTGGTTGTCCTTAGAATCCACGGAACGTGTATTCAGCGAAGGTAGCTTCATTGACAGTGAACTAGAATTGCTAACCCAGTTTTAGTTTGACAGTATCGATAAAAGAGTGTACGAGTATTGTATTTTTATTATTATACAGTACTCTGGGTGTAATTTACAATTTGCAAATTGGATCCCATTGAAGAAAGGAATAATATAATTGATGTGCAGTATATAAGTAACTATATCATTGTCAGAATGTCATCTACAGTATGTTTTATCTGGGATTTTAGAGCTCTACACTGTATTCAGTTTAAAATACATGTACTTGTAGCGGTTGCAGGTACGCAAAGTTTGACAAACTTTTCGTTGCTTTAAAGCTAAGTAACAGCCATCCACCTTCTTACCAGCTGGCCAAACGTACAGTACAGTATGAGTGTAACTTACTGTACTTATTACAATAACTTACAGTACTGTACAGTGTCGTACTGTACAGTGTACAGTGTACAGTACAGTGTGCAGTACGTACAGTATACAGTACAGTACGATACAGATACCGTAATGATTTTTACGCGCAAAAATTTAAAATAAAAATCTACTGACTAACGTGTAGAGTGTACTGACACTCTTACAGTACCGTACAGTCTGTAACGAGATGCAGTGCTTACTACTGTAGTACAGTACTGTACTGTATTGTGATACGGTACGCCCACCATAAAATAGCATTTCTCGAGCCAGTCATAGTAGCATGGTAGGATTAAGATTCAATTACAGACAGGGTCTCTATTAACTAAGTAACAGGTTTGCTAGCAATAATTATATAATTGCTATAGCTATGTGGCCTACTGTATGTAGTAGCATGGCGCATGAAGTGCAAAGTATCATCAAGAATGATATTTATCCGATACTAGTATATCTATTTCACAATTATCTATGTTGATAATTTGATGAGGAGACATTGGTGCTTTTGCAATCGTAAAGGCTGTACCGTATACTGGTTCAATTCTCCTATTTCCTAGTATATAGTTGGCTGGCTGTCTAGACTGGTTCACGATGAACGGGAAGCTAGCACTATTTTCTAACTTAAGATTGCTAAATCTATACACGGTAGATATAAAATGATTTAATGGCACCGTCAGGCTGCGTAGTGCATAATTTAAATACTGAGCATAATTAGCTTATTATTATACGCGTAATTCATCAGTATTCGACAGGAATTTACCGAGCTGTGATGCTCCTGACCGTAGACTACTAAATTACATCTAGTAGTCCATGTCCTGATGATTTTCTGATATGAATTATCATAAATCTGTAATAAAATATCTACACCTTTGAAGATGGATATCAATCAATCAATTCTTCGGCGCGATGTAGTATTATAATGGGAATAGACCAAAAATCTTACTATAATCATTATACGCGTAGTTACATTGGCGACAGGCCACGAATTCTGCAAAAGCATTACATTTGTTAGTATTCATACAGTAGAGTGATTACAATGATGCAATTTAGATTCGCTATAGGATAGCATTAAGACTTTTAATACTATAGATCAGGATGAAATTAAGTCCATGTCATCCAACGAATTTGATTCTAGACTGCATGCGTGCATACGTTATGGTAAACCATAAAACGGCAGAAAGAATGATTTATGCTGAACGTTCTGATAGTTGTTATCAAAATAGTAATTTCCTTTACCGATTACTGCTACAATCAAGTAGCATTGACATATAAAACGCATTCAATTCCATTTATGAATGACGATAAAGTTATAAATTAATATCAATTCTAAAAAATGGTAAAGATAACCGTGATTTCCCAAAGCACGTTTTTAGAAAAGGTCAAAAACCAACATTTTATACAGTAATCGAAACTCCTAAAATATCCAACCTGCAAATAATCCATTAATCGCTACATAGTATCTACATTGAGTGTGATCAGTTTACGGCAGAGTAATTGTAGATCGCACCGAGTTTGTACATCGGAACAATTAATATAAGCCACACTACATCTATAAACAAATACCAATAGAACTGGTTCAAATTTTACGATAAACTGATATTTTTATTACCAGGATAACAAATCTTAGATACATTCGCTTATTAGCATTAAGATATACAATACAGTATCATTCTATGCATTGACATGTTTATGCTGCATAACTCTACAAGGAAAATTATAGACAAAATGGATTGATTAATATATTTAAGAATTTTAGAAGAGCATCGCTATTGCATTCATTTATATAAAAATGTTACCAAGCTATACGAATTCTTTTCTCAAATATAACGATATCAACGGAATAGATGTCATATAGCAGCAAGTTTGTCCACTCAGTACATGTAAAAGTGGTCATATGGCAAAATACAATTCGTGTAACTGCATTAACGTCCTAGAAGTAACGAAATTAGTAAAGAATTTAAAGAACCAAACGCATAATAGCTAATGTCTTCCAGATTTTGTAGAATACAGTGGAATCACCGAGTGCAATATACTGTAAGTGGCTATAGCTCTGCCCACTTTTTTACATACTAAAAACTTATGATAATGAAATATGTAGAGAACATTATATAATGTATATTATTGCCGTATGGCCCATATCTGTATGGGCAAATCCAGTAATAAATTGTGAAGTATAAAAAAAGATACACAGATAAAACATATCGATACAGCTCATACATAATGCATTGATAAAAACGATATATAATTGTAATAGCACAGCGTGTTATCCTTATGCTGAACCTATGAAATATTATATTTAATACCTTCAGAAATACCGAAAGCATATTATGAACTTCTTGGGTGCTATTTATCATTATTCGATAAAAAAATGCAAACACTATTAATACACTACAGTGGTGAAATAAACCAATTCACCGATACGCTTTATGAGTTATGATACAAATTCATTTAAAATAGGAGTCAAATATGGTTTATTAAAATTATATTCACATTAATATGCTACTGTATACCGTACACTCGTACAGTACCGTATACGTTGACTTCCGAAGAATTATAAATACAATGTTAATGTCTTGGTCGATACAGTTTATTAATAATTCGATTAGATTCGCTATATTGCTCTTGCATTCTACTCAATCTTTCGCGTGATTTAGCTCTTATAAGTTTCCATCGGGCGATATGAACTCGCTTTAATTCTACAATCGATTGTTGATTACTGCCGATTAGGTTAGTGTCCCACAGCTTCGGTTTGGGTGCTTGCGTCAGAGCAGTATAACGTTCCTTTTGTAAAATAGATGGCTTTGGTAAACTATGAACATTACCTGATTCGTCGATGGCTGGATTACTACCATTAGTGTCATCGTTATTTGCTTTTTCATTTGCATCTAAATCTAATTTGGCAAATCCATCATTATCACTACCGTCATTGGGATTATTATGCATCCATGACCGACAAAGTGTATATAACGAGGTACGTTCGTCAAACTGTGCTAAGTCCACGCTACGATCGAATAGCTTGATAACATGTATAGGGGGTTTATTACCTTCAGGTGTGCTCGGTATCGTGTTAGAGTTATCATGGACATTACTGTTGTTTCCACTATCTTTCTTTTTTCGCTTTCGTGGCGATCTACTTTGAGCTAGGCTACGCTTCTCAGGTCCAGTGGAATTCGAAGGAAGTAAAGGCTGATTAGGCAATTCTAGTAAACTATTTATGCAATCTTGTTCCGATGCACTTTCTTTATTATGACGAACCAAATCTTGTAACAAATCGTTGAACTTTGTTCTTGCATTGTTCAATTCTTCATTACAACTATTGTGGGCTGCGCTGCTGGTATTCGTATGTAAGGACGATCTGCTTCTATTATTTTCAGACATATTCTAAATCGATTTACCGTAGAGCGTTGATGTAATCTGTTGAGAGTTGTTGTACTGGATTGCTTGAATAATTTACAATAATTACTACTGTAATAATTGTATCCACAGCTGACTGGCTAAAGAAAGGATTGCTGTATTGTAAAAGGTGCAACTAATCGCTACCATCCGTTGTTTTGTCGCGGCCCGATTTCAACGCTATACTATCCAAGTGAACATTCTACAACTTTTTGATCCAAATAAAGGTACCACAATGTCGGTAACGTCTTTCTGATGAGCAAGTTATTAAACTGCAGACAAAGTCTACAGAAAATGGCTTTACTCCTATTGTACTGTCCTATATGTGCGCGTTTATCGTATCCAATCAACCAGCTACGACTAAAGGCGATGACACAGTAGGTTTGCTGTATCGTCGAGTGATACAATCGCCAAAAGAGGATGGTATTACACCACAATGTTAAAGATGATTCAACACCAGGACGATTCAAATGAAAGATTGAAATAAAAGTGCAGTCATAGGATTATGCTAAAAAAATTGGATGATTTGTAACGATTAGGAACCGCGGCGATGTAGTCCTAGTCACAGCTAGTTGTACTGCATTTGATGAACCACTACTACAGAGCTATACCCGCACATTTTACAGTACAGTAGGGACCTACAGACAGACCTCAGGTATGATCTTCGTCTGGGGACTACAGTACTACAAGAAAAGTAGAGTACTCTCCACCGAGTCCACTGTCTCTTTTTCTTTCTTTTTATACTGTACAGAGCTACAGTATACTGTACTGTACCCGCACATTTTACAGTACTGTACAGACAGACCTCAGGTGTGATCTTCCTCTGGGGACTGCAACAAGAAAAGTAGAGTACTGTACAGTACAGAGCTACAGTATACTGTACTGTACCCGCACATTTTACAGTACTGTACACTGTACAGTACAGTACAGTAGGGACCTACAGACAGACCTCAGGTATGATCTTCCTCTGGGGACTACTACAAGAAAAGTAGAGTACTGTACTCTCCACCGAGTCCACTGTCTCTTTTTCTTACGCACATTTTACAGTATACAGACAGACCTCAGGTGTGATCTTCCTCTGGGGACTACTACAGTACAAGAAAAGTAGAGTACAGTACTGTACTCTCCACCGAGTCCACTACCTCTTTTTCTTATACTGTACGTGAGAGCCTGAGAGGAGTTATACAGTACAGTACAGTACTGTACAGTACTGTATGACATACTGTACTGTATACAGTACTGTACTGTGGCCCAAAAGGGACAACTTTACAGCGCAGAATCTGTACAGTTGTGAAAAAAGAATTTCTGCATACAGTAACGTACTCACTCCCGTACTGTCTCCAGTCTCCTTTTATTGTACAGTACTGTACTATACTGTACAGTACATTAAAGGAGACCGCTGGTAACGCGGTAGAAAAACTTGTACAGTACATACTGTACAGTACTCGTACAGTACTGTACACTGTACACTGTATTGTCATCGACTACTGTACTGTACTGAGTTGTACTCATCAAGGATTTCCAGTCACATGACTCCCATCACTGTGGAAAAGGAATACAGTAGGCTTAGACTGAGCTCGACTGCATAGTAATGTAGTGTACAACATGCTGTGTTTATGCTTATGTTATAACGACGCAATCCGGTCGATTAGGCTCAAAAACTGTAACGATTACTATAGCAAAATTATTCTTGTTTTTCAGTAACATTTATCATCAGTACAGTCATTAGAACTAAACTGTGTTGGTCGTCAAAAGTTCCTGTACTATATTACCAAATTCGATCCTATTAGTACCAGATACGAGAATCAAGATAGATTATTGATTGATTTTAAAAAATTACTTAATATACTGTACAGTCGGCAGAAAACGGTGCCTGATGATGTTGATTAGCGGCCAACTTTAAATTGCTCTCTATTTTCCATACCTTCAGCCAAATTAGCGTCCTTTTTATTATACGCGTTGTAATCAATTATAATGGAATCTCACTTACAAGATAGTAGCAATCACAAGTTGATTTCTCAATCCGCAGAAGAACTCAATTCTGCCGATAATATAAAAAGTATCACCAATGGGAACAATCATACTAAGAGTATGGGTACATCCTTTTCAGTTTATATGGCAGCATTAATAGCTTGTCTAGGTGCAGTTAGCTTTGGATACTCATTGGAGTATGCTTCGCCTTCGTTACCGGAACTGCAAGAACCTTCGGCAGGAAAGTTACAACTCAACCGATCACAATCTGCCTGGTTTACTGTAAGTTATAAACGGATTGATTGAACGATTATCCAACATGAAATTTCCTAGTAGCCGAATAAACTTAATTGAATGAGGATACAGTAAATGCGAACTGGATAGAACTTCATTAGTGTAGTTAGTTACACAAAAAAATACTGATTTACTATATTTTATTACCAGATAACCCCCCCCCCCCCTATTACTATAAGTAACCGTCCAGGAGTTTCAATAATCATCAACTAAAATGATTCGTCACTCAATATTACTCGTTCCAAGTCTAAAGTTAATTCCTCCTAGCTTGAATCAATGAATACTGTAATACGTTGTAGTTGTAGCAAGCGAGTTGCCTTAAACATATGTTATTACAGTGTAATTGCTTTTTACTAGACGTAAGTATGGACTTGTAAAGTAAAATATCTGCATACCAAGATACCTACCGCTAGTCACAAACTCTTCGTCTAAATAGACACATATAAATAGCAAAGTCATAGACTCCTCGTCATGCCATGATCTTATGACTGATTCTTATGATTAAGCTATGACCGATTGTAATGGTTATTCCATTTATCTAACTTTCCTAACAGTCTTTAATTGCAATTGGAGGACTGATCGGCGCTCCCGTGGCTGGTTTTTTAATCGATTTTATTGGTAGACAGTCTACATTAATCGTCATTTCATTGCCTTTTGTCGCTGGTTGGCTTTTAATCATATACGCAGAAGCTGTTGTATCACTACTGATTGGACGCTTAATATGTGGGTTAGGTGTTGGTATGGCATCGCTGGTAGTCCCGGTAACTCGATGATGGCAGTTTATTTACTATACTATTACTTTTACATAATCTTACTACAAACTATACTGTATATGTATATGTAGCCTTGTAGGATTAACAGTCTAAATATTAGTTTTATAAATGAAATAATAAAGAGTTACTGGTACTATAAATATAATATTTTATCTCCATAATAGATATACATAGCAGAGATTTCAACTGCTGAAAGTCGTGGTATGCTTGGCTCGATGAATCAATTATCCGTCACTATAGGATTTCTTTTGGGAGCTGTACTGGCTCTTGGAATTAACTGGAATTATTTAGCACTCGTTGGTATGGTTCTTCCAATTTTGATGGCTTTAGGAATAATGTTCATGCCTGAGACCCCACGATACCTTCTCGCTAAAGGAAAACGCCCTATGGCTATAAAACAGTTAAAGTACGATAGCGTAATATATCTAATCGCTTCAATTGATTATTGAAAGCAATGCTTCTATAACTGATACACTTATGGGTATTTTGATAGATGGTTACGCGGATCACATGCGGATATTAATACAGAACTATACGACATAGAAAATAACTTAGATAACGGACAAAAAATGCATTTCTCCGAATTTAAAAATCCAGTCCTATTTAAACCCTTATTAATTTCAATTGGTTTAATGATATTTCAACAATTCAGTGGAATAAATGCTGTGCTCTTCTTTTGCACATATATCTTTAAAGAAGCTGGCTTTGGAGACCCCAAGCTGGTATGTTGTTGTACCATTGATTCTACTATTATTCAATATACTATATTCACTACAAATCTTTTCTTACGTTATCAGGTCAATTTAATAGCTACTTCAGTACAAGTTGGAGCTACACTAATAAGCGTCATGTTGGTTGATCGTCTTGGAAGAAGAGTCTTACTTATCACGCCCGCTGTGATTATGGCAATTTCTTGTACTACATTTGGTGTCTATTACTATATTCAACCCAAGACAACAACGAATTTAAATTGGCTAGCAATGCTTAGTCTTTTCGTGTACCTTGTTGCTTTCTCCATGGGATGGGGTGCTATTCCTTGGTTAATGATGTCAGAACTCTTTCCTGCTCGCGCTCGAGGAATAGCTAGTGGTATAGCTACGCTCATCAATTGGACTGCTGCTTTTACGATCACCTATTCTTTTATTTACATGAGAAAATCCATGAAAGATTATGGCACTTTTTGGTTTTTTGCTGCGTGGAATCTATTAGCGGCAATTTTTGTATTCTTTTGTGTACCGGAAACTAAAGGGAAAACTCTTGAAGAAATAGAACGATTGTTCGTTGACAGGAAAATGAATACGGAGGAATCCTAACCACTAGCCATTTGTTAAATGCCTTGATTAATTTCACTATCAATGAGCATAAAACGTAAAAAGTTTAAATTTTTCTAAATTGAATCCACTTTGATGAAAGCTTCGTATCTCTCCGTTATACAGAACAGCATATAATCATCAATTAGGAATAAGGCGCAATTTTAATCGATAATATCATCATAGTCACCACAATTTCAATAGTTGATGTTGTTTACCACAATAGTAATTCCTCTCAGTAATGTAATCAAGAATAATATGGACACTGTGGAATTCATCTACAAATGTATACAAAATAAAGACATTTTTACCACTTAATAATCTAAACGCCAATCTGCTACAGACTTCAATAATTTTATTCATAGGCTGAACGAATCTTGTTATATTGTTTTCTATATTAAGCAATGGTAGATTTGTGGAGCTGTGCTCAGCTCACTTATATATGTATACTGTACTGTACACTTTATTTTCTTTCATAAATAAAATTTATCTTGAAAGGGTATTCATGTCCTCTGTCAACAGTTATTTCATCAGTAATGTCTAATATTTGAAATTTCGTCATCTGATAAAATTTCAACTTCCAATGCTTCTAGTCATATGAGAGCTCCTTACATTTCTGTATAGCACTTCCATAAGCAATGATTTTAAATCAAACTTTTACATACTGGAACAAATTTAAATGATTCCGATCTACTTTCAGAATCGTTACCAAACACACAGACATATAGCACAACGTCATACACATTATTCTACGCCTCGAAGATTGTCACTTTCGGTAAACAACTGACAGGATTAACAGCTAGACTACAGATAACATGTCAGTATTGATAAATGTACTGTAATTGATATATTAATACTTCATAGAATTACTTACGCAAATATCAAATGAAGAATATTAAAGTTAATGCCTTTCAAGCTGCCAGGTTTTTTATAAGCTGGTAAAAATGTATACCTTATTAAGCTATGAAAATTTTAAGAATACACATCTTAATTCTATATTATCATTCAATTAATTAATATAAATGTTAGCAAATATTAGCTAGAACTTCATCTCATTCTATTTAAACTTTTTATAAACCTGGTACCTATTACAAAGAAAATTTCGACTATATTTAGCAATAATTCTTAGTCGATAAAGCAAAGCAACTAGTATAATATCGTAGAAAACTTATCGTAACTTCAGATTGTATCGCAATCACGGCCTAGGACCTTCCATACATTTTTTTATTGTACTAAGTATATGAGATACTAAACATTGGCAGTAACTTTTTAATAGTATCTGCCAGAAATTCTAAAGACCATAAAACAGCGTAAAGCGTCAAGTAATACTAACAATTGCATCACGTAAAAGTGCCTACAACTCATATTACCATAATATTAGTAGCCAAGTAACCTCATACATTAACATAAATTAATAGTTAAACTTCATATAAACGATTAACCCTGCAAAGGAAAGAAATATAGCTCAGTAGCACGATTTATTGCTGTAAATTTCTATACCATAAAAGCTACTCATGTGTAGATCTCTTTTTAGGCTAGAAGCCATTTTAAAATGACTTATTGTATAGCCTTTCGTATAGTAGTAAATTCTCAAAGACGTTTGTAAATAAATATTAAGCGCTAGCTTATCATCATTTTATGCAAATCATGTATCATGGGCTGATTTGTAACTTCCATAAAACATTAGTAATGGCAATAATATAATCCCAGGAATATCATCATCATGCTTATGTAATTTCAATCTAACAATATTGATCTATACTGTTCACATCAGATACACAAGAATATGATTAACGAACATATTACTGCATGCTATCCTGTAGCTACTGTATGTGATTTACTATAGCCGTTGCTATACCAGTTATAATTTCATAACTTGTGCTTGCTACACTACTTCAATTGAATTGTTATCCATCTAATTAATTTATAGTATAATTTATGCTAATACAATTCATAACAGTATGCCAGACAATGATTGCATATTACTGCCATAAAGACCTACGCTATATTCTTTAATAATCCTAACAATAAATACAAGCAAGCTTTAAGTACTCCATATAAAGCTAATATTATTAAATTGCTTTAATGTATAAGACTATATACAAGTTAACATAGTAAATTGTAACCTATTCTATTTAAAATCTTGACCCAACTTGAACATCAATGTCTTTTCTCAGATTGAATATTGCATCATTGTACTTGCTATTCTAGTAATTTAATTCACACTATACAGCTTTGTTCTTATATTATAAACGAATGAATGTAATAGTCCTTTCAGTCTAAAGCCAAAATAAGTAGTGAAAGATCCATCTTTATCTGATTGGCTATGAAATTATAGTATTAAGAAGAGAAATAACAACCTCAAGAAAATTGGATAAAATAGTTGTCAAGCAGTATCTAAATCTACGTCTATAATAGCATCGTCTAAGACATTGGATTCGTCCGATCCCTTTGTAGAAAATCGCACACATAAAATTAGAGATTTAATTTAAATGCCTGGCAACGATGACTCGAATTAACGATAATTCTAGTATCGAAGAGAAGAACGTTAAAAAGAAAAAAAGTAAAACGATTTATTACAATAAAACAGCATCCAAACATGTCACTACCATCGGAATAGACGAAGACAAAAAGCCAAAATCTGGCATAGTATCGCATAAATTGATGTTTATATCTGCTGTCATAGGGGGTTTAAGCGTAATCAATTTTGGATTTGTCTTGGAATATGCTGCTCCAGCTATACCTCAACTGATGCTCCCATCAGCGGGCATTTTGCGCTTGGATGAAGATTCATCAGCATGGTTCGGGGTAAGGAAACTTTTTATATTATAGGGAATATTGAAGCACAAAATGTTGGCAAGCCTTTAAAATACTCCCATTCTAAAAAAATTGAATTAGAAAGTCTATCATTAATCTAATGCCGTACCAGATAAGAATTTTTTAGTAAACGTTTTCCTTCATTTACAGAAATATTATGCTATGGTATATATTTACTTAAAGTATATCTACTTTTCTGTCCACTAACAATTTCGTATCTCTGTCCACCTTTCTATTATATCGGAAACTGTTCTACTCAAGATTTTAAAAGTCGCCTATACATAAAGTGTTAAAGTTATCACTGTAGTAAGAATTGCTATATGCCAATGAGATTTTCAGATTACATAAGTGTTATAGCTTCGCTTCTTCTCTTAAACTTTCAGTTTATTAACACAATCCATTCATGTAGACAGCGTTATATCTAAGACAATTTACAGCAATATAACTCCTTAAATGGCTTTCAAGCAAATTTTAGAATTTATTTACTGAGTATTTTGGGGCTTTTTCCCGACAATTAATGGTTTTATCGTGTATCTATCCTGACATATTCTTGTTGTAACATAGTGCTCCAAAAAGATAAAACAGTAAAAGAAACTTATTTTGGCGAGTACACCACAGTAAAAACAATAATTCAATAATTACTATCGCTATAGTAAGACCGCCCGATCGGATTCGATTGTATAAGCACCAATTAGTTGTAAAAAGTTTGCAAATACAGCAAGGAATATTCACCAACGTATCATCTGAGAGTTTTCTTCACTATAGTGAATAGAGCAGAATTACCGTTATTTTTTTCAATCGTTCTCTTAGGCTCAATTTGTCAAACATACACTTTTGCGTTAATTATGGCTTAGTTCAGAACATTTTTAATAATAGATTCATACAGATGTATTGTTGCTAACCATGATTTAATATTCGAGAAAAGATATTCCATCCTGATACTTAAGTGTCAAGACAAATTTTCATGTTTATAGGCATTTACTGCTCTTTCAAAGCTAATTTAGTTTAGAACTATTCCTTTGCTATCGTCAATAGTATGTTACTTGATAAGCATATCGTCGTCAAACTCGTTCATTCATAAGTTTGAAGAGAGAAACAAAGTCTCTAACCCGACATTAGTATTAACATAAAAAGGGATAAATTTACTCAACAATATTAGCTGTCACGAAATCAGAATTTTAATGCAGTACCGTTAATTTTATAACAATTGCTATTTTCGCAGTTTAATTAGCGTAATGCTTCGTCTTATATGATTTACCTGCTTCTTCCATCGTTGTTTTACAATATATAACTGTATGTACCAGCGTTATTTTTCATCCACTACCCCCTGCCATGTCCATATTTTGCAATCGACCATGCAATTGTATAGCTTCTCTCATGAGTTTTTAATTTTTCACTAGAAGTCATGTGGTGATACAGAAATACAAAACAAAGCTATTCAGTAATTGTAATATTGCAAGAATTTATTTTAATAGCATCAAATAAAACTTAAAATTAGAAGATATAGTCTACGTTCTAAATTACTACTTCTATGCAATTGAATACCCTTGTAATCTTATTAGATCATCAGTAACAAGAAAACTATTGTTACTTTATTTCGCTTTAGATACGGCACATGATAACCATTATTGGCTTTAGAAAGCTACATTAACTTAAAATGGATGTACGACTACTGTCATATAATTATATAGTGTGCTATGAAAGAAATAAAAGCTGTATTTGTCTTCTATAGCGCTAATACTATCTAAGTTAGTCTAAGTTAGACACTTGATTCATAGCTTAGTATATTACTGTATATGAGCATCTTAAGATTCTTACTACCATCTCTGATAACTGGATCAGTGATGTTGCTTATCCCAATCATGTAAAGAGGACAGAACCATCAAATAGAATTACCGAACGTACTCACATAGTAATAAATTAAATTTGATTTTACAGTAGTTACATTTGTCTAATATGACAAGCCTAAAATTGCAAGCGTTGATCCTTATTACCGTTTAACATCGTCAGAAAGGAAGACATAACTCTAAGGATAAAACACTCATGTCTTAAAAGGCCTTACAGAACTATGTATATACTCTATGAAGTTTAGCCATATTGTTTAATAAGTGAAAATTATAAGGATGTTATCAAAGTCCAATCGAGTTTGTTTCATAAGCCTTAGATGATCTTGATCTTAATTATATTTTCATCTTGTAAAGACATAATATCATCATAATCAGATTTACTCTTCTAATAGTACTTTCTCCTATCACAATTCCAAGTCTCTAGCACTAATCGGCGCATTGGCTGGCGGTTTAATTAGTGGTCATATCATGGAAAATTATGGCAGGCAATCTGCCATTATTCTGATATCTGTGCCATCTTCTGTTGGTTGGTTGTGTATTATGTACGCTCAATCGATACAAAGTCTTTACATCGGTCGGGTTTTAACCGGTCTTTCTGTTGGTATGGCCACAATGGCATATCCGGTATATTTTCGTACAGATTATTAAATAATTATGTGATACAAAATTCTTAATATAGCAATCTTTCCAACTTTGTAGTTAATGATAATTAATGTAAATTCAAACCTTTATTGGCATACATTATGCCTAGGTTTATATCGCTGAAATTTCTACTGCCCAAGTACGGGGATTTTTTGGTTCCTTTTTTCAAATTGGAGTCACCATTGGATATGTACTCGGTGCTGGATTAGCTTTAGGTATAAACTGGAATTACTTGGCTTTGGTAGGCCAGATAATTGCTACCTTATTAGGAATTTGTATGATGTTTATGCCGGAGACACCTCGATGGCTGCTATCGCAAGGTTATAAGCGATCTGGTCTTGACTCTTTGCAGTAAGCGAATTTATATGCTATTTCTTAAGAAGTACTATTATTCTTGTATAATTTAACGGCCAGGCTATTTACATTCTTGTATTAAACTAATAATTTTTCTTCAGAAATTTTCAATAGCTACATTTACAAAGCCAATCTTCGCTTTAATAACTACACCTATAACTAAATTGTAGATCGTATCAGCTATCGTGCTTGTATCTATAAAAGATAATAATGACAATTACTGTATTTCATGTTTCAAGGCGTTTGCGAGGAACAGATGTCCCTATTAACTACGAATTATCAGAAATCCAAGATCACTTGGATAATATTGAACCATTTAGCTATTTGGAATTATTTTCTACAGGTTTAAAGAAACCGTTTCTTCTTAGTATAGGCTTAATATCATTTCAACAACTTTGTGGGATCAATGCAGTTTTACCTTTTTGTATTTACATCTTTAACCAAGCTGGCTTCGACAATAGCAATATGGTAAATACGCGTATGTTAACAATACCTATTAAAAAAATTATAGAACTGGATATTAGAAACAGTCAAGCGAAATTTTTAATAAAATTCAAGTATACGTAGAATAGCGCAATCATATAGGTTTCACAACATCTGTATATTTTAATTATATCAAATCCATATTTTATATTCCCCTACTAAACGTATACCTTAACCTATATCTGTCTTGCGTTAATCAGTGCAATATTAACGCAGCAAACTAATGTTATGACCTTCTCATCGAAAGGTGAACATTCTAAAAAATATTATATAATTCAGGATATGTTTGCAAACATATAAAAATAAAGCTAAATTATAAATTAGTACGTATTTTCCACTTCTAGGTACAGCCTTTTATCACATATCAGACTGATAGGCTCATTAGCTAAACTTTACGAAGTAGAGATATTTAGTGAACGTTATAATTGAAACACTATATTTATAAATCTTTTCCCCTTTTGATAGGTTAATCTTATAGCCAGTTTATCACAATTGGTAACTAGTATCGCCGTGAGCTTCTTTGTCGATCGCCTTGGTAGAGTTTTACTATTAACCTTTGCAGCTGCAGCCATGTCTATTACTTGTTTTGCATTTGGCCTCTACTTCCAACTGACATCTTTATACGATATAAATCTTAATTGGTTAGCTCTAATAAGTATTTTTGTCTACTTTGTGGCTTTTAATTCTGCCTGGGGTAGCCTTCCATTGCTTGTGATATCTGAGATACTACCATCGAGAGCCCGTGGCGCTGCTGGAGGGCTATGTACCTGCTTTGGTTGGTCTGTAGGATTTGGCGTTAGTTATGTATTCATTCCGTTAAGTAATGCAATTAGTAGTCAAGGAGCTTTTTGGGTTTTTAGTGCATTAAATCTATTAGGAGCACTTTTCGTTTACTTTTTTGTGCCTGAAACAAAGGGTAAAACTTTAGAAGAGATTGAATATTTTTTTAACTCTAAAAAAACTATGGGAAAGCGAGTTACTGAGGTATAATTTATACCTAAATAATTTAATAACTGCTGGTTAAATTTCTGATTAGCGTAATACTTTGAATTTCGCTAACTGTAGAAGTTCATGACCAAATAATATAACATTGTGCATGGCATAATTAGTTGATCATTGTTGGTCCCATGCTATACGATACAACTTCATCACTTCATGGCGTTCCAAACGATGTAACATAGCCTAGTGTAGCAATATAATGCCAGAATTTAAGGTAATGGTACAATTCTACATTGTGGTCTTTTACTAATCTTTTAGCAATGCGAAATACACAGTACTACTATACATCTGGTATCCAAAATTTTAATTGGCCTATTTTCTAAAATTGAATATTATAAATACTCATATATATACATACATACAGTACAGTGGAAATGTTTCATCACTAGTGGCTGCTCTCTACATCAACTTTGTTCTCTGTTCCATTCAATATTATAATATTGAATTTGTTGGTGTATCAGATATTTAATCACTATAATTCATTAATTTAATATATATTTATATATTTGCATATATACAGAGAGATGTGATATATTAATCTAGTGGGATCATTTATTTCTAATAACCATTCTTTATATCTAGTTAGTTATTTTTCACTACGTTTTTAATATTGCTCCTCGACTTAACCACCATATCATATTATATTACTATATTATTGAATTATTGAGATACAACATATCGAATGCTTATGTTGAGTACTTGAATGATTTATTTACCGTTAGTATACTGATATTATGCATATATTCGCATATATAACAATATACCACGTATGTTGAACTATATATATGGCAAAAAAACTTGATAAGGGAATATTTTGTTAACATAAAACGTTATGTGATAAATGGATGTATTTTACGATATCATTCTACTATGATAAACATTGTATTTAATCTTATTATGTCATTATTTAATATCAACTATCTTAGTTTTTTTTCTGAAGGATTAAGTCTTTGCAATGTATAATATTACAATAATAAAATGGACAAGAATGTCGGATACCATATACGATCAAATTTGAGTTAGTAACCACAAAGAGTTATCAGTAAAATTACTAACCCTGGATAAATGGTTATCAATATCGTGCAGTACTACAATGATCCCACCGAATACATCTATATAGCCAATGACTATAATATAATACTGACCTCTACTTCCATGTAATAACATAATTCATTGTCCACATCATTATTGGTGTTATCGTTGAACTATTAGAAACTAAGTATTGTAATCTAAATCAGTTAAGGAGTGACGGTATTAACTTATATTATCAAAGAATTGCATTGTATAATAAGTTAAGCAATTTGTGTGTCCATATCATTATAAGTACTGTCACTGAATTGTTTAAATTAAATTTTAACAGTATCATTTTAATCTAATAGAGAGAAATGGTATTATTTCATCCTATCGGATAATTGCATTGCATGGCAAATTAAGTCATTCCTACTACATATCAAAGCATGGATATCAAAAACGCTAGACGATCGATTGCTGTTCAGTTATTTGAAAAAAACTAAATTAAAGAGTTGCTGATGACTGCATAATATAGTATATATGTATCTTTGTATGCAAAAGTCTCGGTAAAGAGTCATTATAACATTAAACATTTAATTGTGAACAACGCTGGCTACTATACGCTAAGTATACTATGCATTGTATGGGCCTCAATCATTAGTTTAAGCCACTAATTATTCCATCAGCTACCACGGAATTCCACCCATGTTAATTCTATCTATAGTAAATATATCAAAAATAGTCGTCTATTTTGTATCTATTTTCATAGAAATAATGCACCATGATAGATTAGTTCTACAGCCTTGATGATGAAGTTGTAATCATTAAGTCTTCATTTAATACAGTAGTAAGTAGAGTTTTCTTGTGAGAAATTTTTACCTATACGCTCCATCAACTATTATGTATTATACAGTATAACACTGTATAGTGTATATGCATACATACAGAATTTGGAATGCCTAATGAGATAGTATCAGCGGCCATCCTAGCATTGTAGGTCTTTTTATGCAATAATCTTAGCATAAAACAAACAATTTAATACCGTAGAAGTTACGACATTTATATACAATATATGAACTTTGGCCTTCAATTTCAGTTCTAGTCATAGTGTACAAACGTGTTGATTGAGATTGCACTTGGCCAGTATCCACTAACTCGCAAGATAGGCCCCTAAAATAGAACTAACAGACTCCAAGAATGAGATTTATTTATCTATCTTTCTATTTTGTTTAGAATTTGTTGACTACAGTGTAATAGTTTTAGTCTTAAAGGAAACTTTAACCTGCTATAGTGTTGTACTCTACTGTACACTGTATAGTACTACTGTTTAGTATTAATAGATCTGTGTCAAAAGAATTACGAATATAATTATATCATTGTTCTTACTGGCTTAGCGAACGATACAACTTTTAGTAGTTCCTTGCTCTCTCATATGTAACTATTTTCAGGTTTAAATAATATCAGAGACTTTTATGTTGACATTAAGTAAAGGCATTACTTCAGTAATAGTTTACAATTTCTAGTAAGCTTTAATAAGTAGAGTAAAAATGTTAATTTAATTCAATGGCAATCATTGCAGTCTTATACAATAAATTCATCAATAGTAGATTAAATCTCGACTACATCAAATCGAGTTGGTACCGTCAATGTCAGTTCAAACTACAGAACATAAATTCACAATGAAAGAAATTAAATTGCAAAGTAAATTTCCCATAAAAACTCCTGAATCATCGTCTAACACTGAAACGTTTATTGGCTATGACAAAAGATCCTTGGAAAAGCAACATCATATTACCTCAAATAAGATACCATTTATTGCCACTGCTATAGCTTCCCTTAGTTTAATTAGTTTTGGATATATGCTAGGATATACCGCGCTGGCTATACCCCAGTTGACGACCGATGAAGCTCAAATAGAATTAAGTGAAAATTCTGTGGCTTGGTTTGGTGTAAGTATACGTAGTGCCAAACTACAGTATATTCTACTGTTATTATATTGAGCCATAGCTTTCAGTACATTGCCAATTCATTATTAGCTAAAGATATTTAATCAGCAACTGTCACACCAAGGCAATACAGCACTTAAGCGAATACAAAGATGTTGCAAATATACTTGTACAGTATTTAACTGTATATCCATCTCAGCTTGTTAATCCAAGTTCATATACTTATTCACCAAGCCTAAAAGTGATTTAGTGCAACGATACATCCAAGCTTTTGTTTTCTGTTCTAATTACCTTTTCGTTAATTATTACCGCAGTTAACGATTAAATTAACCATTAACAATTTGATTTTGGTAACGTTTTTGCTAGTCAATTTTTTGCGATCTTCCCATTTGTGTTCATTTAAAACGGATCAATTTCACTTTATCCGTTTAATCAGTCAAAATTGAAATGTGTACATGTATCCATAATATATCATTTTATCTAGAAATTGTCTATTTTATATCAGTACAAGTATATTGATGAATGAGTCGATTGTACTATTTAACTATTTTCTTAATCAGCTACAATGACTAATTCATTTGACTGACTCAATTCCAATCACCGAAAATTGCATCTTTCAAGACAGGATTAAATTCATTTTATCCCTTTAGTATCTTAAAACCCGTATATTAACGAGCGATTCTATTGCAATACTTAATTGCTCATCTAATCATAATCGACTGCAGTGATTAATTCATACGACGGACTAAATTTCAGTTACTAAAAATCCCATCTTTCAGATAGAATGTTATTTTCTATCCATTAGTAGTCAATTAATTGAATGTTTAAGGAAATTGAGTCAATCCTTTCTGTTATATAGTCTCTAATTATGTTGGGTGCCTTTATCGGAAGTATCATAGCTGGCAGGATGATAGATCATTTCGGCAGGCAATGTACTCTCATCACACTCTCCATACCAGCTACTATTGGATGGTTTATAATTGTGTCTGCTCAGACAGTTACAGCATTACTTGCTGGCCGAATATTAACAGGCATTTCTCTTGGGATGTCATCTGTATCTTACTCGGTAAGATTAACACTATGTTATACAGACATTGTAGTATAACATATTATTGTAGATAGTTATTGAAAGAGTTATAAACTATAGCTCATCCCTAATTTAGGTCTACATGTCGGAAATATCCACTGCCTCAATGCGTGGTTTACTCGGAGGGTCTATTCAATTTGCTATTTCAACTGGATATATTCTTAATGCTTCCATTGGCATGATTACTACTTGGAGATACTCAGCAATAGCGGGGCAAGCAATCGCAACCATATTAGCGATAGGAATGGTATTTATGCCTGAATCACCACATTGGTTAATTGCTAATGGCTATCGTAAAACAGCTATTGATACGTTAAGGTAGCAAACGATTTTACAGCTGGATAGCTATTACAGTTGTTACTGTTGATTTCTACTTGTAATATTAAACAGTGATCTTGTTGATCTATTACAGACGACTTCGAGGACCTGAAGCAAACATCAACTTTGAACTAACAGAAATTGAGAGTTTGAAACACCGCCAACAAATTAAATATTCGGAGTTATGGTCTCCTTCAGTTCGAAAACCATTCTTGATCAGTCTATTCTTACTTATAGCTCAAAAATGGACAGGTTTTCATTCCGTTTTATTCTTTTGTCCGTACATACTTCGAATGGCAGGTTTTCAAGATTTTCGCCTGGTAAGGATAATTATTGATTGAGCTTTAATAATTAAAGTTGTACCAGATATAGTAGCTTTAGTCCATGATACTAATGCTGTAAGTGTTTTCTAACTAAAAACGCTTATTACCATGGCAGCCTACGCATACATTGCTAACGTATCATCTAGTTGTCTTATTGCTCTCTTTCAGCATAACTTATATTTTCTGAATGAATATTTTTCTACCCTTAGATTATTTTGATTATGGCGATATCACAATTTGTTGGTAGTGGCGTCGGCTATGCTTTGGCTGGTCGATTTAGTAGAGTGAAACTGCTATTAAGTTGTAGCGCGCTGATGACTGTTTCTGGAGCTCTATTGGGAGTTTACTTTTATTTATTAGAAGCAATGTCATTAAATCTACTTTGGTTAAGCTTCATTAGTACATGTGGATATGTGTTGGGATTTAATATTTCATGGGGAGGATTAGCATACGCTATAATGAGCGAAATACTGCCTCTCAGGGTACGTGGTGTGGCATCTGGACTATCTGCCAGCGTTGGTTTTTTAGCAGCATTTGCTGCTAGTTACGCTTTTTTACCGCTGGCACAGGCAATATCAGTTCAAGGGAGTTTATGGTTTTATACAGGCCTCAACGTATTAATTGCAATTATTGTCTTTTACTGTGTACCAGAAACCAAAGGTAAAAAGTTTTCGGATATTGAAAAAATTTTCGATAAAAAGAAGAGGATGGATAAAACAACGATGGTCTAGCACATTACAGATATCTCTCTATTACATTATACTCGTACTTATAGAGAGAATGGATTACATTAGAGTCTTATTAAATACCTTGAATTTATACGTGTATAGAATTTGACTATATATATATATTTTTATTATGGATCAAATCTTATTTACAACTACTAACGTTCATGTTGTATCACTAAAAAGGGAAAATGTTGACGGTGTTAGGAAACTTTGTACTCATTCTATATCTTTATATTTGTAATGGATGAAGATGTAATTTATAGTTGATATATTGGTAAGTGCTGCCAAATAAGTACTTGAATTTTCGACTAATAACAAAAAGACTAAATGAGGATATTTCCATCGGATAATTAGATTAATCATATCCAATTTCTAATTAAAAATTAAATTTACTGTAAGGTTTATTTTTCAACAGATGTAAATCTACCTTTTATCTACGTAAAAGAGTATATGCGGATCCATGATTGAAAATGTTATACGCATGTTACATGTTTCGATGTTTAAAATTGAATTCAATATTGCGTCTTCATTTCCGATATTTCGATGCTGTGGATGACGTGATTGTGGAGTAAAATGGAGGCTAGAGAGAATTGATCTGTCGTCTAATTCTGATTATTTTGCATGTTCTATTAGTGAACAGTTTTTGGAATCAGTTTGAAATGATTTTCAATTTGGACGTTTCTAAGCGTGCATTAATTTAGCCGTGGACTATTAAAAGAAGATCTTGGTTTAGCCAACGATAAAATCCATTTTGATTTAGTCATTGAGATTTTCTTCAACGCCGCACCATACTTTTATTTGCAGTGTAAAGTATTTTTCTCAACTGTGCCGTGCATAGCTCTTCTGCCTTAATTCATTCATTCATCCATTGCTGCTCTTACTCTGGCTCTACTCTATTCTAGCCGTAACTATGTTGCATAAATTACTTTGTATACTTGGCTGAACCTCTCCTGCTGATACATTAGTAGTCACGGGATGATGCAGGACACAAATTTGATTTGTGCCGCGCGATTTCTTGGTTTTTTTTTTAACTATGTCAATACATGTCTAATATACCAGCGAGACAGCTTGAACGAAGTGTACCAAGTAATATACTGTTTGCAAAATGGTTCGGCCTAGCGTACAGTGTACACGACAACTTTATGTACCTTGCAAGACTGGTCTTTCCACAGTCGACTGAAAGATTTGAAAGTAATTCTATTACGATTGTATAATCCGCTGTTGAGCCTTCAGGCTATATAAAAATACCAGCAGGCCGTAAAGTTTTGATTAATTATAATTAGTGGAGGGAGGGAGGGTTGGTGATGTGTGTAATCATCTGTGTTTACAAGTTAATTATGGACCGCTACAGGACTGTGTTATAAGCAGAGCAGAGAGAGAATTGCGAAAGTGGCCAAAAGTAAGAAGGTGCAAGTATATAAGTACAATATACAAGCATGCTTATTTTTTCTTTAGATAGAGAAAATGGCGAAAAAAATAGGACTAAAACTAAGGTCCAAAATACCGTACTTTACACCAACATGTCAGTAGCTAGTAGCTACTGCTATCATCTATGCAAGAATAGTGTTAAGGCACACAGCAATATTTAATTTCTTTCTACTTTGCCATTGAAAAATCTGAAGAATTTAGAATATGGCGCACACTTGTACAATGTGTACATTAGCCCGTATGATAATATTATTTTAGTTGAATTCATTGATTAATTCATTATTACCACGTTGGACCTCAACTCCTGTTCTTATTATACAGCTACAAGGACCACTACACCAATGTATGTGGACTACTCAAGTTAAAATCTTATCATGCCACCTAGCTAGATCCTGAGAAACTTTTCTCAAGAGTACAGTCCCGGTGCAGTATACAGTATTGTACACATGATAATATTATTTCAACCCTTGGATTAATTGAATTCATCAATTAATTCATTATTACCACGTTGGACCTCAACTCCTGTTCTTATTATACAGCTACAAGGACCACTACACCAATGTATGTGGACTACTCAAGTTAAAATCTTATCATGCCACCTAGCTAGATCCTGAGAAAAGTTTCTCTTCGTTAATATCCAAGTCAATCTATTTGCTCTCCACTGCTATACTAAATGTATGTGGACTACTCAAGTTAACCCTTATTAGGCTTGCTATAGTCCGGAAAAATCCGAACGTACAAATATTATTACTTATATCCTAGAGTCCGGATTTTTCCAGATGTTACTCATACATGATCAGTTAAGCGTAGATCCTGAGAAAAGTTTCTCTTCGTTAATATCCATGTCCATATTTTTGCTGTCTACTGCCGGATTAGGACAAAATCGAAACGAACCTCTGCCGTCAATCTGGGCCGTACAGTGTACAGTACGAAGTCGTTGAGTACTGTACTGTACACTGTACACTGTACAGTATGGTACACCCAGGTATTAGCTGCTGTGGCATGTTGTCGATATTTAATATTGAATTCCATTTCACTCCACCACATCATCAAAATGATTTCAACTTTTACGATAGGCTAATTTAGCCAGAGCCTGGATAAAACATCATCGCAACTTGCATTGCAGATCTACAGTGAATACTACATTACTGTAATCGAATTGGGCAAGATACTCAACGATAGTCTTGATACAGTACTCATTTGGAGGACAATGGGTCAAGAAAGCAACCACTTCTATACTGAAAAAATGAAAGCAAATGGCGAAGGCGCTCGCCACAATTCTTCTACCACTTCACGATCGAGAAATATTACCGTCATTGGCTACGATCATGCCGGTTTAGAAAAGCAACAAGTAACGATGCCCAATAAGAACACATTTCTAGCAGCGTTGATAGCAATGATAGGGACGATCAATTTTGGATTTGTGTTTGAGTATTCCGCTCCTGCTATTCCTCAATTGATGGCGAATCACATGGGTGCACTGCGATTAGATGAGAATTCATCCTCATTATTTGGTGTAAGTAACATATTCACACATTTCACTTTCTGTGCTTGCTGTACTTTGAATGACTAGCGTGTACTAGTAATATACGTCCTGTTTTAATCGTAAGAATTCAGATGGCTACATGCTGAATGAAAAACCCTAAAAGTACAGAGTACTTGTACAGTAGTACTCCAGTACTGTACGCTATCCCCAACCGTTTTGCATAAATTACTTTGTAAACTTGATTTACTGTTAATTAAACTGTCCTGCTGATACATCATTTTTGAAATTAGACATGTATTGACACATCTGAAAAAAAAATCAAGAAATTCGCCCAATCTCACGCGGTGCAAATCAAATTTGTGTCCTGCGATCATATGTACAGTAATATGCATCATCCCCGTAAATTGGATTTGTCCAATCTCACGCGGCGTAAATCAAATTGGTGTCCTGCATCATCCCCCTAAATTGGATTTGCGCCGCGTGAGATTGAATGATTTCTTCATTTTTTGGGGGGGGCAGAAATATCAATCCATGTGTAATGAATGTATCAGTAGGACAACTTAATTAAACCAAGTGTACAAAGTTAATTTATGCAAAATGGTTAGGGCTACTGTACACATGTCTTATTCCATTATTGATAGTTTGTATAGTCGTTTATTTCTTGAATTGCTTATTAACAATGAGTATTTTGATTCATCGACATACTTGTGTATGGTAATTGAAAACTACTGGATCGCACTACTATCGTGGACTTCAAAATATCACTTGCAATACTGACAGAATATCCTGGCAGTTGTAGTTTTGATGATTAAATCGTTTTATCATTCACTGTCAGATTAAAAGTTCTTTTGTACCACTTACGTCTTCTTTATACGCGTACATCTTTGTAACAATTCTCCTATCGTTATCTACCATCAGAAAGATAAATCCATAATCAAGTTTAACAATATTGAAATTACGGATCAATATTCATGTTGATCTGAGATTGCTTATGTCTTATTTACTATTCCATGTTTGAGAATGCCTTCCAAAAATGATTTATCAATCACTCTAAATCGACTGTACAGTATTTTAAAATTGTTCTCCTGATGATGATAGAGCATGATTGTCTATACGATGGTATATCATATACTCCATTGTGCTGATTGTACTGTACTTAATGATGAAATACAAGAGTGATCTTTGGATGGGTGATATTTTCATCTTCTTATTTAAAAAAATAGAGTAAAGCACGCTAAAATTTTTGCTACAGTTATCGACACGACGATGCTGCAAATAATAATTTACGTACGGGTACGGGCCAGTAAAGTAGAATCATTATCATTGCAATCATAGTTATCTTTACTTTACTGCAGCTTACACCAATCTATTACTATTTATTAAATCAAAGCCTTAGCGAAAGTAATAGGATTACAACGGGAGAATAAATGGCATCACAAATTACAACAATACCTATAAAAGTGAAAACAAATTTTACAAAATACTCATTGTAAAGTATTCCAGCTGATTATAGAGTAAATGTCGAAGGGTGTTAACTAAACAAAGTTGCACACTACGATACTGTTGTTAATTCACTATGTATTGTCGTGGCGAATGCTAAAATGCAATACAAGTTAGAATACTTTGGCGTTTTTTAGGCGCTATGGATCACAGTTATTTTTAATAAAATTACATTTCATAGTACTCTTAGTTGGCCACTCGGCTTACACAGTGAAACCTATCAATAACGACGTCCAACATGCTGTACTACTACACCATGAAAATATTTCAATTTCTGTATTATTATTATAATTATAATGAATTTAGGCTTTACCGCTACTGGGAGCTCTAATAGGAAGTTTCTTTGGTGGCTATCTTGTAGATATTTATGGTCGACAAAGTGCTATAATTTTCTTATCCATACCTTCATCGATTGGTTGGGTAGCAATCATGTACGCTCAGAGTGTCACATCGTTGTACATTGGTCGAATCCTCACCGGCATTTCCGTTGGCATAGCATCCATTGCATGCTCTGTTAGTTTCTGTCACTTAAGATAAATTTTATTAGATATCTAAAATTAAATATCGTTTCGAAACATTGGAATCATTGACAAGAATTGATAAAAAATAAGTAAATTTTATCTACTATTAGTAATAAATGATGGTAATCGATTTTTGGGGCAATTAACTTAGGTTTATCTTTCTGAAATCGCACCAGCTTCCAAACGTGGCATGTTTGGTGCTTTCCTTCAAGTTGGAGTGACTGCTGGTGCTACCATTGGTGCTGCTATAGGCATGTTGGTTAGTTGGAATTTCTTAGCCGTTGCAGGTCAAGTTATTGCTACTATCCTGGCGTTCAGCATGATGTTTATGCCAGAAACTCCTCGTTGGCTGATATCCAACGGCTATGAAGAGTTAGCTTCTGACACATTAAGGTACTATACTATACATTTCGGCTTGTAGATGAAAGATACCACTACGGTATCATCTATATAAAATCAGACCTTCACCACGTAAGATGAAATTGATATTCCATTTCGAAGGTTAGGTTTCTTGCAATTGACTTAGCGCCATCATTACTAGTATACCTATGATGCCGCTCTGATAAGATAGAATAACAATTAAATCATGATTTAATGGCAAACCTATAGTTACAGCTAATTATTGCTCTGATAGAGTAAACAATTTTGGTAAATAAATAGCACTTCTTTTTCCGATGGATTGACATCACTATCAAATGGAACTCATTTATTACAATTTTTTAGTGCTGCGCCTCTAAATTTTGAATGAATAAGCTTATTATTTCCTATTTATTATATCATTATTTATACTTTATACCCTTAGATGGTTACGAGGACCGGATGCTAATATTAATTATGAACTAGAGGAAATAAAACTCGTCAAAAATACGAAAAATGTTGGCTACTCAGAACTTTTTTCCCCTAGTATTCGAAAGCCTTTTTTAATCAGTATAGCATTAACTATTTTCCAACAGGCTACTGGTATAAATCCTGTCATGTTCTTTTGCACTTATATTTTCGAAAGAGCTGGATTTAAAGATAGTGATGTGGTTAGTGTACCATTTAACGACTTTTAATATTATAGAAATGATGTACATGTAGAGTGTGTATATAGCTGATTATAGGTAGCTATCGATAGATATACGTTTAAGTGCCCTCGTAATCTACTGCTTCATAAAGTACCGAAAACATCTAAAACTATACTTTCATGTACCATTTTATCTAAATTTTGTGTTGTTTCAATTGTAACCATTATGCGTTTAGCGTCTTACCTTTCTTAACCTTTGTTAAATTTACCTTCCTTATGCTGTAATATTTACTAATCACTCCATATAATGGACTTGCTCTAATTACCTAGGTAAATCTTATTGCTGCTACATCTCAGCTAGTTTCTAGCATTATCGGGTATTTTCTAGCTGCCCGATTCGGTAGGGTGGTTTTATTGTCATGTGGAAGCGTAGTGATGTCGTTGAGCAGTTTTACGTTTGGGCTTTACTTTCACCTACTTGATACTGCATCTCTGAACCCTAGTTGGCTGGCGTTGGTTAGTGTATTTACATTTTTTATGGCTTTTAATTGTGTATGGGGCTCAATACCGTATCTTGTTATGTCGGAAGTCCTACCATCACGAGTACGCGGTAAAGTAGGCGGTATCTGCGCCGGAATTGGTTGGACTGGGGGATTTCTAGTCAGCTATGGATTTCTACCTATAGGTGAAATAATTTCTATACAAGGTGTACTTTGGATATTTTCTGGATTTAACTTTCTCGCCGCAATATTTGTATATTATTTTGTACCTGAGACCAAAGGTAAGACATTAGAAGAAATTGAGATTTTCTTTGACAGTAACAAATCTGTCAGTCGAGCAACTGAGGTATGATACTTCTTATTCATTGGCTTATATTAGAGATGACAAATTTTTTAGGACAGTAGTCTCTACTTACGTGATAGTATATCCGATGTCAAATAAGAGCGATTCTGATTTAATTCTATATACTGTACGATGTTCAGTTCGGTATTTTCATGCTATCTAATTGTCAATATCAACTGCAACAGTCGTCCATAATTTGAAGGCAAGTATTATTGCTAGTAGTCGAAATTTGAAATCTTATGCAATATTTAAGAAATGATGTTTCAACAAAAGATTAAAATTGTATATTAATATAGTAAGTTGAGTTTTGAAAAATAGAAACAATTTATTATTCATATTTACTACGTTATTTATGTCGGGTTAATTAAATTATTTCGATTATCTGCTTTCTCTTTCTATATTACACAGTATATGGTTGCTGTGTCACGATATTTACGTATCTATATATGACTCCACTATACTATGTCTGGTGAAGTACCGTATTATTATTTCGGCAAAATTAACTGTTTTAGATAGTAGTCAGTTTTTGACTATTGGGTTAGAAACAGCTGATATCGAATAGCTAGCTATTTAAGACTTTAAAGTTATAGTTTGGCTACCTGCACTTGCAGCATCGGGTAAAACCATGCAAGAGTTCAGCAGAATTGATAGCTATTCATATAATTTCTTCGTTCTACTAATGTAAAATTAAGCTATTTTATCATATGCTGATTTTGATACGGTTATCAATCGTCTAATCATAACTCACTAAATTTACTACAAAAATATAATGGAATTTTCTGGTTTCGTTTTATGTCATAAGTTAAGGATGGTAATCAGTATAATAAATGCTCAAAAGGTACGTGTACTATATCTTGATTTTATCTATTAAATAAAAAGTATAAATATTTAATTCTTAAGCTATCGACAGATAGCTTAAGAATACTCTTTCGGACACTATCAAACAGTGATAGTTCACATTAAAGAAAATTCTAAACTTTAATCTGCATGTTTTAGTGATGAGACAACTAAAACTCAGCACAACCTGTCAATTTGACATTCAATTCATTACGTAAACTGCCGACATCCTATACTAAAATTTACAGGGAAATTTTAAACTTATAGCGAAAAGTTATCATCACATTTGATTCATATCGAATTGACGTAGAGCAACGTATTTTGTGACATTACGTATATACTATAATCTTGCTATAACTTCTTATCAGTATCTTATAATTGTAAAAAAGAAATCGGGAGTTTCAGTGCTGCAATCAGACACGATGAGTGTGCCATACTAAAGCAATAGAAAGCCGGTACAGTAAAATGTATCATAACGAGTATATAACTAACAACATTTAAGACGTACTTGTAGCGTCTTCAGATGCGTTTAAAGAGCCAACTCTTGTAATGTATCGCCAAACAGCATACTAAGTTAACTACAGTGCTAGATTCTTTAAGTGATAACTACTGAAAGCACTTCTGTTTTACATTATTGAACGAAGATTATAAAGATGTCGCTTAGTATTTCATTTTATTTACTGTATGTATATCTCCAGTAATATTTAGAATTTGAGTGACCTGTGGCCACCTTGAGCCCTCCGATGCCATACTCTATACAGTATATCGTCTAAATATATCATCAAGGGCATTTTTCTTATCATTCTGAATATTTTAAAATTTGCCTATTGTCGCCAATCAATGTATCGAATTTCGATAATAATACTCACATTTTTACGGATTTACTTTTTTTATTAACATTATTGTTATTTCACATCCATAACAGTTTAGATAATACATTCGGTAGATTTAATTTCATCCGATTGGAAGCATGATTAATGGATTAGTGAGATCGAAATTTATGCGTTGGTAATTAAAGTTGAAATTAGATTATGATTTACATCGTATCATTTTTGTTAGTACGAACACCATAAGAAGGAGAAGAAATGCTTGCTACTCATCTCAGATAACAGTAAGAAGAGATTAATAAGACAGATTATCACCTAACATAAAACATAGCATTGTAAAGACGTTATCGGCTATTTTTATAAATAAATATAGAAAGATTACGTTATAAGTTCTTCTCGTTCAATAATGACTTACCAATTACAAAATGCATTCTCGATAGATAGTCGTATGTTCTACAATAGTTTAAGGTATCTGCATATCAGCAGAAAATACATGGAATGCAGGGCCGGAAACTTTGACCTCTATAGGGTCTCTTCCAAGTATATAAACAGTTGCACGTCCAGGTCTACCTACAAAATCCCCTTGTTCTGTGTTAACTTTGCTTAATGATTGTGGAACCATTCCATTTTGAACCATATAAGCAGTCAATGGACCTTGAGATGATCCAGTCACTGGGTCTTCTGCAATTCCTACTAAAGGTGCAAACACCCTACTATGTGCATGGTTGTTTTCATCTACACCATGAGGTGTTGATGCACAATAAAGTATAATATTATGTTGTTCGGCATAAGCTTTAGCAGTCTCTTGATTGACATTTAACTCTTTTAGTTCTTGTAATGATTTAATAGCAAAATAAACATAGCGATTCGTTCTTTCGATCAAGATTGGTTTGGATTGATCGATAATATCTAAATTAATTGCTAGTGCTTCAGCAAGTTGTGCATGATTGAAAGGTACAGGATCAAGATTAATAGGGGGAGGAAAGAAAGAAATAATCGGTTCATTACCACTCCAATCGATTTCACCTTTGAATAAACCAGCGTTAATTTCAATGTTGTATTGTTTAACGATGCCCTGATCAGCACCAAATCGTTTCTCTCTAGCAATCATAGCCAATGTTGCTAAAGTTACGTGACCACAAAATGTGATTTCTGCATCGCTAGGAGTAAAATAACGCAAGCGAAAATCGGCACGTTGACTTGTTAAAACATAACCAGTCTCAGAAATATTCATTTCTCGAGCAATGTTCTTCATATCTTTGTCCGTTAGATTATCGGCATCGAATACAACCGCTCCTGGATTGCCACCAAATAATTGAGCTGAGAATGCATCAAGTTGATGAATGCGAATATTTTTCATGTTGATTGAGGTCAGTGTTAATCAAGTGTTGTTGTATAACTTTGGTAAGGTGGAACACGGATTAATTTCTTGCTCTGATTCCTCCTTAATCGAAGTAATCAGGTAAATGATATATATAATCTACCTGCAATGAATGTCGTGGAGAACTGGAGACTAATGAATCAATCGGCGTTGGGGTTGCAAATTAAATAGGCTCTTCAGAGTCTTCAGCCAACATGATTCGTGGGTTGCCACCACACTGAGTGTACAGTTCAGAAAGGTACTACCGACTCTATACTGTACACAGTATACTGCATGAAGAGAAGAAATTCGTATGAACAGTAAATGCACTTTGTTTACATAATTTGCATCACGATGATAAAAGTTGCGTCACGTTCCGTTCCGGTACGGACCGTACTGGACTAGAATAGACTTGAATACTGTACTGTACAGTGTACAGTGTACAGTGCATACCGCATTACAGTACAGTACAGTACTGTAAAAAAAGTGCAAAATGGAGGACATGGCAGCTGATTGAGTTTGAAGGGCAATTTGAAAATTAAGGGATTGCAATCCCTACAAATTTTGTGACCCAATGAACTTAAAAATGGACATACATACTATCTACTGTACAAGTTGCAAAAATGATTATTTTACTGAGCAGTGTGCACAAGTCAATACTTACTGTAGTACGCACTAGCCAGCTCCAATGATTAATTTAATTTAATTAAGGACCATTACGATGCAATTTTTGACTACATGCGTCTATTTAGCATGGTTTTACTACCACAGACTAATATTAGACCATTACGAAGCGATTTTTTGCTTACCCTTTGACCATTAAAACAGTCGTCTCTGTAGGTAATGCTCACGCCAGATAGAGAAAGATGGCGTGATGTATAGTAAATCGATCAGGTGATGTTCAGTCTATTAACAAACTGGATGATATTGCATTGTATAAGTTGAGCAATTTCATTTTCACTGTCATGGAGCAAGTTGAATCGATGCAAAATATAGGAAATCGACAGCAGTATTTTGCAGTAACAGCAACAAAAATGGACTAGTACACTGTCGACTAGCAGTGTACACTATTGAATAGTCTCTCTCTTTCTAGAATCTCTAGTCTGCAATACAGTAAATTGATCTGATCATCTTCAGGTTTACTGAATAGGATGATACTATGCGACGATTTCAATATCATGAAGGAAATCATATAAACACATCTAGCTTTTTTGGAAGGATGTACCCTAGACCGACGGTCCTGCTACTTTACCAGTAATACAGTTGCAATAATAATTCCGTCACTATACTGTACTCCTAGTTCAGTAAATAAAAACTAATTTGCATAGTAGAAGAGTACATCAAGTTGAACCACTGCACCAGCATCAGTAAGAGCACTACTCCCTCTCGAACAAATCGAAACCGGATAATGCACCGCATTAAATTAATTTTACGCTGTATAGGATTAAACACTGCAAAATATTCAATCCACCCTCGCAATATCAAAACAGACTTTTTACTGCATTAGATTAATTTTACGCGGTAAGCTGTATAGGATTGAATACTACAAAGTATTCAATTCACCCTCTTCATATCAAATCTATATTGATATCGTTTTCATCTTTTACTACTACATTGCGTAATGCGCGAGGTCCAAACTCGCTAGGATAACGATCAACACGATATATAGATGATTCAGGATAAGATTTATTGCAAAAATACACTACAGGATCGAGATCGAATTTCCGAGATAGCTATGCAACGTCTGCATGTATTATAGCAAAAGCAATACTATTTAACAGTCTTATAGCACCGGGTGAAATATATGGGATACCCCCAGATTGATTTGTACCGTATCGCGATAGCTTTGTATTGCTTCATATACTGTATAATTATAATAGTCCTGATCTATTTTATATGGTCAGTGTTACTGTATATATCATATCCCTCTTCTCGACATAAGGCAACGCTTTCAGCGTATGATATAATATAATTATAGTTAACAGTACAACACTCTAAGGTTCTACGTTAATCGCAACAGGCTAACACATCGCTACATTGACTCTATGAGTCTCTCTGATTTCTTATACGGTCCGGATTGATCTTCTTGGTGGATTATCCAACTATCATGTTGAAATGGCTATCAACTGTTTATAAATATCCCAGTGTAACTACTGTACTGTATGTACGTCGTGATTGTAGTCATTCAACTTTAGCCATAGTAATTTTGTAAAGTAAAATAATACAGTAATATTCATTATAGATACTTGCTAGGTATAAAGAAGATATATGAGTAAGTATAAATCAATCAACGTTAAATGAATATTTCTGTAATGTAATACTAAAATTTCGATCGAGTGTACCGAGTTATTTGTAATCACTACTGATAGACTGCCTAGAGGCAGTAGTGGCTAAAAGGAAAGACCACTAGAATTAATAATAGGCCTAATACAGACTTGGGCCTATCGTTGCAGCACTTATGTTTAATTTAAATTACTGTACATCGATGCGTAAAATGCTATGTAAATTAACTTTACGCTCAGCTCCGCTGTATCACCTTTAAAGAGTTTCGATAAAAAGTGTATAAAGTAACAGCTACAACATCATGGTGGCAATCCTATAACTTATGTAAGGATATACAGTACTCGTAATAGTTTAATAGAGCCGTGGCAATTATATGAATGTATATATATACAGTACATTGGAGTGCCGTTATAGAATGAAAAAAATTATCTCAACGTTTATCCAAAGATTTGAAGTAATATGATTACTATTACAAGGTATTCTTGATAGATGCTCGCCTGTACTAGCTATACTGTACAGCTTAAGGGATCTGCATATCAGCAGAAAATACATGGAATGCAGGGCCGGAAACTTTGACCTCTATAGGGTCTCTTCCAAGTATATAAACAGTTGCACGTCCAGGTCTACCTACAAAATCCCCTTGTTCTGTGTTAACTTTGCTTAATGATTGTGGAACCATTCCATTTTGAACCATATAAGCAGTCAATGGACCTTGAGATGATCCAGTCACTGGGTCTTCTGCAATTCCTACTGGAGCAAACACCCTACTATGTGCATGGTTGTTTTCATCTACACCATGAGGTGTTGATGCACAATAAAGTATAATATTATGTTGTTCGGCATAAGCTTTAGCAGTCTCCTGATTGACATTTAACTCTTTTAGTTCTTGTAATGATTTAATAGCAAAATAAACATAGCGATTCGTTCTTTCGATCAAGATTGGTTTGGATTGATCGATAATATCTAAATTAATTGCTAGTGCTTCAGCAAGTTGTGCATGATTGAAAGGTACAGGATCAAGATTAATAGGGGGAGGAAAGAAAGAAATAATCGGTTCATTACCACTCCAATCGATTTCACCTTTGAATAAACCAGCGTTAATTTCAATGTTGTATTGTTTAACGATGCCCTGATCAGCACCAAATCGTTTCTCTCTAGCAATCATCGCCAATGTTGCTAAAGTTACGTGACCACAAAATGTGATTTCTGCATCGCTAGGAGTAAAATAACGCAAGCGAAAATCGGCACGCTGACTTGTTAAAACATAACCAGTCGTGGAAGTATTCATTTCTCGAGCAATATTTTTCATATCTTTGTCCGTTAGATTATCGGCATCGAATACAACCGCTCCTGGATTGCCACCAAATAATTGAGCTGAGAATGCATCAAGTTGATGAATGCGAATATTTTTCATGTTGATTGAGGTCAGTGTTAATCAAGTGTTGTTGTATAACTTTGGTAAGGTGGAACACGGATTAATTTCTTGCTGTGATTCCTCCTTAATCGAAGTAATCAGGTAAATGATATATATAATCTACCTGCAATGAATGTCGTGGAGAACTGGAGACTAATGAATCAATCGGCGTTGGGGTTGCAAATTAAATAGGCTCTTCAGAGTCTTCAGCCAACATGATTCGTGGGTTGCCACCACACTGAGTGTACAGTTCAGAAAGGTACTACCGACTCTATACTGTACACAGTATACTGCATGAAGAGAAGAAATTCGTATGAACAGTAAATGCACTTTGTTTACATAATTTGCATCACGATGACGAAAGTTGCGTCACGTTCCGTTCCGGTACGGACCGTACTGGACTAGAATAGACTTGAATACTGTACTGTACAGTGTACTGTACAGTGCACACCGCATTACAGTACAGTACAGTACTGTAAAAAAAGTGCAAAATGGAGGACATGGCAGCTGATTGAGTTTGAAGGGCAATTTGAAAATTAAGGGATTGCAATCCCTACAAATTTTGTGACCCAATGAACTTAAAAATGGACACACATACTATCTACTGTACAAGTTGCAAAAATGATTATTTTACTGAGCAGTGTGCACAAATCAATACTTACAGTAGTACGCACTCGCCAGCTCCAATGATTAATTTAATTTAATTAAGGACCATTACGATGCAATTTTTGACTACATGCGTCTATTTAGCATGGTTTTACTACCACAGACTAATATAAGACCATTACGAAGCGATTTTTTTGCTTACCCTTTGACCATTAAAACAGTCGTCTCTGTAGGTAATGCTCACGCCAGATAGAGAAAGATGGCGTGATGTATAGTAAATCGATCAGGTGATGTTCAGCCTATCAACAAGCTGGATGATATTGTATTGTAGAAGTTGAGCAATTTCATTTTCACTGTCATGGAGCAAGTTGAATCGATGCAAAATATAGGAAATCGACAGCAGTATTTTGCAGTAACAGCAACAAAAATGGACTAGTACACTGTCGACTAGCAGTGTACACTATTGAATAGTCTCTCTCTTTCTAGAATCTCTAGTCTGCAATACAGTAAATTGATCTGATCATCTTCAGGTTTACTGAATAGTTCTGATATTGACTAATGACTTTGCTTATGGCCAGCCCAAAGGTAGCATTACCAACATTGATCAAGTAATAACTGGCCAATACCGGTAATGGCCAGTTAGATTCAGCGGCCAATACCGATACTGGCCAGACCAAAAGTAGCATTACCGATATTGGCCAAGAAATAGAAGGTAGCATTACCGGTAATGGCGTAGTAACGCGGGCGTCATTACCGGTAACGCTGGGATTACCGATGTTGGCCGTAACACTCGTATACGGACATTACAGACTACGAAAAAAGAAGGAAACGGAGACAGCAAACGGGCAATCAGGACAATTTGGAAGTTGCCGTCTTACAGACATGCGATACAGTTGAAATGACCAGTAAAAGAATCAGCCTCTCAATTATTAGTATAGTCGTCAGCGATCGTTCGTTGTCCCGTTCCTCTCCAGTATTTTTTTAGTAGTCCCTGACGTACATATACGTACAGAACACAGACAGGCCATTACATCCTATCATAGTGAAATAGCTATCAACTGTTCATAAATATCCCAGTGTAAGATTGTAGTAATTCAAGCTTAACCATAGTAGTTTGAATTAATTCTTGTAAAGTAAAATAATACAGTAGTATTCAATTTACAAATACTTGTAAGGTATAAAGAAGATATACAGTATACAGCATACTATATGCGTAAGTATAAATCGACGTAAAATGAATATTTCAGTACTGTAATACTAGAATTTTCGATCGGGTGTACTGTAGTGGGATATTAATCTATACAGTATGTCTAAAATAAAATAATACCGTTCAACTTTGGGTCGGCTATATTTATACTGTGCGTACAATTATGTAATGTAACTTTATAACAATTAAGCAATTTCAATTTTAGAAGATTACTGATCTAAGCTAAGCGAGCGGAGCAGTTGCTAGTCATCTAACTAATATACATTGCACACTATCATTGCTATGCTATTGCAGTCATGTCCATTCTGTATAGTTAGTATGATAAATACTCGAGCTTCGATATTAGAGAATGTGATAACCATGCCATAGGGTATTTTACTGACCCCTGATATCGGTAGGAGGAATCAAGTAGAACAGCGATTCTGAACTTTTACACATGCATCACCACCGCAGAAATGGTCCTAGATGTTACTGGCCCTTTCCCCCCTCCTTTTTGAATACACTTTTAGTTGTAGCTAAAAAAGGAATGACTAGTAAAATCAATAACATGTCTAATATAGGATTGGGCAATAAATTACGATACAGTACTCGATTCATACAGAATAATGCTATATTAATTAACTTTATACTCGGTTGCATCATCTTGAAAGAGTTTTAATCAAGTGTGCATAAAAGTAATAGCGATAACATGATGACAACAACCCTGTAACTTACATACGGATATAATAGTTTAATAGAACTAAGGCAATTAATGAATGAGTAAAATATATATCGGAACGCTGCTATAGAATGAAAAAAATCATCTCAACGTATATCTAATTGGAGTAACATGATTACTATCGCGAATGAAATAGTAATATGTATTATCTCACTATAATGTTGTATCGCTGTTCACATACCGTTCATGCCACAGTTTAATGTAGCCTATGATAATTAATTATAATTGTAATCATCAATCTTAGTATTGGTATAATGGAATGGACTGCGAAACAGTACAGCATGGTTCTCAATAACAGAGGAAGTCTCTTTTACACCCGGTTCGGATACCGATTTCTCTTCTGCGGACACGTTGTTAGTTTTTAGTGATCGTACTGACAGTAATTTAAATAAAGTAAAAGAAAAGGCTAAACGCAAGTAAGACACGACTCTACTTTATTATGAATTGTTACGAGAAATTAAAGACCCCAATAATTACTAATTTTCAGGCCTAATCTATTTTAAATTCACTTATTTAAGAACTGTATCGTGAATGGGTACTAACTTTACTATAATCCATAAAAACAACTATTTAATAATTTATTTTCCAATTGATTAAATAAACTACTTATGCGTCATTATGCTCTCAATCTTCGTGACATAAAAAGGACTGTATAGATGAAGATTACAAGGGGGGAAGATTAGGGACAAGCCTCTTTTTTATAAATTGTATTTACATTAATTATACCTAAATATCTAAATACTATAGTAGATTGCATCAATAGTTACGTAAATATCGGTGCAAGAGCATAAAAATAGCAACTTACCTTTAATGATGATATACTATATACAACAAAATTCAATAAATAAAACAATCAAAATAAATAAACCAAATATAATATCGAATAGGACAGAATAGCTTACATCATAATTGATAAGTTAAGTAATATCTTCATACAGAGTTACTGAATCGATGCTATATGACCTATTCAATATTCAATACTATAGTAAAAGCATATTAAAATCTATAACAGACCGTACTCTTACCACTGATTTAGTTTAAGTTCAAATCTTGTTTTAAATGACCATAAAATAATACCATCTATTCTCTATACTGTTTTGAAAATTGAAACAAACATTAACAACTGAATTAATACTGTTCTTCTTTTGTCAGTAATGTCGCTTTTAGAGGACGAATATAGTTATAAATCCTCTAGTAATAATGGTAAACATTTATGTAGATCGATCAAATTGTATTTTGCTTCTTTTATCGCCTGTATAGCCTCCTTTGTAGTAGGTTATAGCTTGCAATATTCCTCTCCTACCATACCACAGTTGACTATACCGAGCGCTGGAAATCTCTATCTATCATCTGGAAATACTTCTTTATTCGCGGTTAGTGAGTTGATAACCCCAATATACGCGTATAGATGAAATCGATCTAAATCTATGTTTATGCTATAACAATTTCAACTCGACATAAATGCTTACAACTAGAGTCGTTATTTTAACCTTGTTGAATTGCTTCAACTGAATCTGCTACTATATATTCTAACCTGTTCCGTAACTATTAAGTAGTTATTTAAGGATAATTTTGAATCGCAACTTAAACTACGATAGAATTAATCGAACATGAGAAATTTTGAGATTTACTGAAAGCTAGGATTTTAACTCATTTATTGCATCTTCGTGATCGTTATTTTCTAATTTATAATTTCTACTAATAATGTAATAACGACAATATTAAACGGTTCAAATCATAGATAAATCTAAAATAGTCTATTACTGACGAAACAGTAGAACTCTCTTAATTCGTTTCTGCAACAATTAGAGATACGAATTATAATTGACATTACTTATTCGTTTCTTGCAAAGTCTTTATTAGCTATTGGTGCAGCAGGTGGTGCCTTAATTGGCGGCAAAATTAGTGATCAACTTGGTCGACGTTCGACCTTGATTTTGTCTTCAATACCTTCAATGGCTGGCTGGCTGTTAATTGCATACGCGACAGCAGTATGGCATTTACTGGTTGGACGAACACTATGTGGAATAGGGGTTGGAATATCGTCTCTGGCAGTTCCAGTAAGATATAGTATGGATTTGATATCTCTAATCATAAAGGCGTTCGTTATTTAGTTATTAACTATCAATTGTCTTCATTTTAATATTGACTATCGCATACACTTTCTATATCACAATTCGTATTGTATTAGCATATATTGCGAGATTTGCTCTGATATACATATCAATACTTTTAGATTTACCTTGCAGAAATATCTACCCCAGATATCCGTGGAAGTCTTCTTTTTCTAACTTCTCTGTTAATTGCCATTGGATCATTATCTTGTGCCGCTCTATCCGTATTGGTCAAGTGGAGATATTTAGCTGTAATAGCAGGAATTCCAATATTAGTACTTGCTATCGGTATGATCCTACTACCAGAAAGTCCACGTTTTCTAGTCAGCCAAGGCCGTCTAAAAGAAGCTATTGACTGTTTAAGGTAAGTTTGGAGACTCTCACATTCCTAGCAATAGAACAAGATATTATATTGAATACCCTATTTTACTATCGGAGAATAGAGATAACCTGTTTTACGCGTATACTTGATTTGTATCGGTTAGACTAGAACATGAACCGAATACAATTGAGAATTTACCTTTCTAATAACATTGGTCGCACTGTTTGTATTATATTAAAAAAATCAATCCGATAAGATTGAAACAGTAGCAATGAGGATCGAAAGATCTCCTAAATAAATTTACTCAACCTACATATGTTATATTTACTAATATGCGATAGAAATATGGTACAGACTTCAATTGTACAATAGCTGCAATTTAATGAGTTAGCTTCAAATATAAATTGATTACAACTATGGGCTTATAATCTTAATATCAGCAATAACTGTGACTCGGATTGTGTTTTAACAGTGTTATCAATGACATAAATCAGATATTCTTGAAAAGTTATGTGATAATATCAATTAGGATTGGTAACGAATACGCTATATTCCAGATAAATAAAACTAAGAAAATTATCCAATCTTCTCATATCCTATTTTACTAATGTTATACGCTAGAACTTTTATAGATGAGTCAATTTGAATTGTTTTACGAGATATATTGCAAAAGTCTATTTTTTGGGGTTACAATACTGTCAGAAAGTCACAAAATTATCACCCTATGCTCTTCTAGCCCATATACTTTCGCACATCTGTCGCACTCAATCAAGCGGCATCATACTTAAAACTTTATAAAAATATATTAATACAACTATAATAATAACCATAGAGTAGTAGTATATCATTATTATAATACAGCTACCTGAGAAATCACTATCGTTAGGTACGGTTAATATTAAAATAGATATTAAATTTATCTCTTTAATTTTAAAATCTTACCAGATGGCTACATGGTGATGAGGCCAATATCTATGTTGAACTAACAGAAATTGAAGAAATGCATAAGAATACGCCAACGATGGATCTCTGTGAATTGTTTAGACCTCCATTAGTTAAACCATTTATGATAGCTATAGCTTGTATGTTGCTCCAGCAATTTACTGGATTTAATGCTATTTACTACTACTGTACATCAATATTTAATCAAGCAGGATTCAAAGATAGCTTAATTGTAAGTAATTATTTCATATCCAATGGTTACAGTAAAGTAGCTAAATTAACTATAATATAGAATACTATTTGCAAATGGTAGGATTGATAAAACAATATAGAAGTTAAATAAATACGGTAGTTTCTTGATTGATTCTATTTATTCATGCGTGTGTAGGTTAACCTTATAGCCAATGCCGTACAATTATTTGCTACTATACTAGCCGTCCCATTTATTGATAGAGCTGGTAGGAAAATACTACTCATGATATCAGGGGCTGGAATTGTTATAAGCTGTGGTCTTTTCGGTCTTTTCTTCCAATTAAAGGAAAGTACGCCATTAAAATTGGATTGGCTAGCTATTGTCAGCGTTGTTTTATTTTTGATGTTTTTTGCTTTGGGCTGGTCAGCTATACCTTGGTTGCTTATGTCGGAATTGCTACCAACTAAAGCTCGAGGAATTGCTAGTAGTTTAATTGCTTGCTTAAACTGGACAAGTGGCTTTTTAGTTGTCTTCTTTTTTATAGATATTGAAAAGGGTCTTACTAAACAAGGTGGATTTTGGCTATTTGCAGGATGTACACTCGCTAGCGAGTTCTTCATCTATTACTATTTGCCAGAGACTAAAGGAAAAACACTAGAGCAAATACAGCAATCATTCGATCCAGATTTACCCATTGAAGAACCTCATCTATCATATGGAAGCGATCTTACTGGTGGCCAGAGAGCTTTTGATAAATCTCAATCTTGGTCAATTAATAAATAATTTTGCATATGAATTACATTAATGAACAATATAGCGTCCTTTACAATGTTTGTAAATGTATGAAAATATGAAATTTGTTTCTACAATAATTTATTACAAAGCTATTATTTTTATAAGATAAGTATTAATAACTCTGAATGAAGCAAGTTGCTGGACCCTTTATAACTCGAATTATTGCAAATTTGGCGCATTTTTTGTCTAGTTTTTTATGCGACTACAGAAAATATCAGATACGTATGATGTATTCATTTTTTCTGGAATTGGAAGTTATTGGTTATAATTATTTCATTAACTAGTATAAAGTTGACATCGTAAGGCTAATATCGTTTTATTATCAACGAGGTGAATCTGCTGTGCATGATGCACAACACGCTGAGATTATTGATATTTTCGTTTTATTATTATTCTATAAATGATTAAAAAATTCTCAATGATGTGCATACCTGGTACAACTTTTAATCAGTGTATATCATCCTACTAATCTTTAATATTTAATTTTAATATAGATCACCTTTATAAATAAGTGCTGCATCTGTCTTTCTCAGATAATTATTCTGTTAACTAAACTAGACTCCCAAAAAATTAGATTGCTCTATCTAATCTTCATAAATAATTCCTAGACATCCTACATTTATTTAGTAAAAGTTGCAGGAATGTACCCATGATAGTAAATAATCCTAGCTCATTCTTAGTGTATTATTTCTGATTCACATGTCTTCTATTTACAGTATATTGGATAGGTAGATTGAACAATAATGCTAGAATAGTAATGAAAATTGTCAACTGCTGTGTTAATATGACTCGGTGATGGATATTCCTTTTCATATGGCTCATGGCTCGTACAATTAATGCCAAGTTCTTCTATTTTTTCTTTCTAAATTAACCTTTGTACATGATTTACCGCACAGCGTGGAATAGTTAATCCGCTGTCTGATCAGAAGGTAACGGTGCAATAAGTTGTGATTGATTTCAATATTTTCCCGATGTAATAGTGTGAAAATTTACTCACTTTGCACACGATTTACATCACAACGCGGAATAATTAATCCGTTATCTGATCAGAGGGTATGGGAGCATGTGTTGTGATTGATTTTCATATTTTCTCCGATATAATTATGTAAACATTTAACGCGCTTCGCACATGATTTACAGGACAGCAAGGAATAATTAATCCTTTGTCTGATCAGATGGTATCGTTGCAATCAGCGTTGTTCACAATTAATTGCTTGATGTTATAAATGCAAGATTTAATGAAAGATTATATTAAAAAAGATTAGAAAGGAGTATGGACGAAAGAGCATTATTGCAGCTTCAACTTTACATACTCATACGAGTAAAATACGACGTTCATTCTTTCAATAGCTACGATGAAATTCAATCTTGACACATGATAATTACTTACTCCCTCTTATTTCCCGCAATCATCATAAATATTTCATACTCATTGATTTAAAAGGGTAATCTTTTAATGACAAGAATACGATGCTGTAAGATATTTTTTCAAACTTTAGATCAATCATTTCCATATTAAACAACACTGTTTTCTCAGAGTTTGCATCCCAGTAGAAGGATAGCTAAAGCCTTGGAAAATCAGTTTATTAATTCATTGAAATAGTAGCTCCGTTTGCATGAACAGTTTATTGTTAAGATAACAGCATCATGTATTCTCTACATTATCTTTCATCGATCGATAGATATGGTGATAAGAACTTTATTATCTACCGACGGTGATTGTTAATAAACAATAGTTACCATAGATAATACAGTCATTATTTCTTTTTGTGTTATAAGGCCTTTTCTTCTATTTGTGTCAATGTTAGGTAACTAGTTCAGAATAAAAGTGATGGAAGCAACAGTCATTAACTAGTTCTTAAATAGAGTGATCGTTACATTGTAAAGTAGAAATGATTAATTGGCTAGGAGTCGATTAGGAGCACTATCCAGGGTTGGCTATTTTGTATATAGCTTTTGTCTATCTTTTTGTCTAATTAAAGTATCCAGACAGTGCTTTTAAATTTTTAAAGCTATATCAATTATTGGCCAAGTGATGAATATTGGCTGCATAAATAGGGTTGATGATGGCTTGACGGCATTTTCGCCATCGTAAATCAAAATCTTGCTTGGTCCATGTCAGGGTTAGTAACACTAATTAATTGAGAATCAATCAATTATGTCCGTTATAACTGAAGGATAACGTAAATGACTAATTGATTTTTCGAACGAGAGCTGAACTACAGTTTATTGACGTATTTTGCTGTTATTAGACAAGAAAATGAAATAGAATTCCTCCGTCATGACAGTAGTCACTCATCTGTTATAGAATTTGCAATTATGTTTCGTCAGCTATGTTTTAAACAGTTTCGGATACAGTACATCGAAGTTCCGTTCTTGATTTTGTTGTAAATCTTATCCTATATCAGTGATTTAGTCATTGAGTAGCATTCATACACGTATTTGTGATAGCCATAATTGACGACATTAGAGCATCTTAGATGGATGTTAGATGGCCCCAAACTTGGCTATCAATCTCTTTCAGTTTCCAACAAAGTAACCTAGTGTTATTTTCGTTACGACCATCCTAATTTTTTACTTCTATCGTTATAACTGAGTACTTTTTTACTTGTTCCGCTTGCTCCTGCTACTTTATTCATATAGATTAGTATATTATGATATCAATTCAAGATATTCATATTGTATCCTTTAGTAGTACCTATTAACTACGTATTAAATTACACACTTTATGCCTCGTATTTCTCATCAAATGACTTCTTTACTGGGATATCTTGTTGTCTTTTAATCTCGTTTCGAATGCGTATTAACGACATTGATTTCATACTTCTAAGCCCAAGCAACTTCTTACTGATATAGCGTATAGTAGAGGCTGTCATTTCCGTCATGTTCGATTTAATATTGTATTGGAAACAACAACATTCTACAACATAATCCTTTCTCATTTCCTGACCCTTATCCTTGCTCTACCTCAAGGATTGTTATTTCAGGAATATCTCATTTAATGTTATAGTTATTAGCCACTTTTACAGAAGTGATGCAGAAGATCGCTTCAGTAGGAGATAGAAATGGTCATCTTGATGGATTTTTATTCAATATCGATCCATTTAATTTTTAATATATCAAGAAAACTGTCGCCATCTCTCGTACTAATGTTTATAGCGTTTTATAACGTTATAGCCATCCTTATCAATCTTGATCCTAATATAAATACATTTTTGTACACGTTTTTTATTTTAGCCTTTATTTCATACTGAAAGTGTCTATGTTATCTGACTTACTTGGAGCAATAGAGAGTAGAATTATTACCTACGTTGTGTTTCCACTCTTAGTCGTTGACGTTGTCACGAAGGGCTTCAATACACTCCGCCTAGTAAGCTTACTAAAAATCTCTTTTTATTTAGGATTTACTGCATTTAAATAGTATAGCCGTAATAACATATTATACGAGCCTTATATTAGCAATTCATTGCCTGATCTTATGACAACACATTATGTGCAGCACAACAAGTTACTGTATTCTTACATGCATAACACCTAGACGTTATTAGTAATCATCTCATTCTTAACACATGTAGAAATAGCAAGTGTTGTCAATTTTATAGGAGTAATTTTAAATGCCTTTTCATTGACCTTGAATATTTTGTCGCACTTTCTCGTTACTAATCCGTTACATAGAGCAATTGTAGCTCTGAAACGTATAGATTACCATCAATGACTACATTTTACTATATTATTTAATGCATCGTCAAGTTTAAAGGTATAACTTTGAAAAAATTCTATTGCAGTCTAGTTGTGAATGTAGTTTCCCATCATTAAAAAAATGATTCACTTTCGCTATCGGCCGATCAAGATATCCGTTTGATATACTGTATATAGTGCATTTGGCTCACCTTGTCATTTTCGATCTTGGATCGATCATGAGCTCTAGTTTTAGCACTCTATGATACTATTATAGCCATGCTGTTCATGTTACTAGCTTTCCTATTCTAAATTCATAGTCCAATTTATAGCCTTGGCATGAGAATCAACTTACTGCCATACCTAACTTCCTATCTTGAATGTATTACCAAGTCTAATTTCATCATCCTAGCATCAATATATTTCATCTTGCTTACTTATAAGTAACTTTTCATATTGAATGCATCGCTGCACTGAATTTCACTGAATTGTAATCATGTTGATCTTGTTGCTAGCTCTAACTTAATTTTCGTCGTCCTTGCATTAATTTATTTCATCTTACTCATTTATAACTAAATTCTCTCACTAAATGCATCGCTGTATTGAATTTCATAATTTTATAACATCTTGCTCGTCTGGAGGCTAGCTTCTCATACTGAATCCATTGCTACACCGAATTTCATAATTTTACAAGGTCTTGCTCATCTGGAAGCTAGCTTTCCTATTCTGAATGTCTCAAAGACTGTCATTTCAACTCTATAGAATATCGAATGCGTTTTCTTTACTCCATAGCTAGCTTCTTAGCGTGAATCCATCGCTAGCTCTCATCGTATAACCTTGTTATGCTCCATCTTGATCATTTAGCCCCATTCATCTTCTCTAATTGCATTGGCATACTTGTCAAGCTGACATTTTGACGGATATCCTGCTCATCCTGTAGCTTTAGTACGATTCATGCAAATTCATGATGGCCATAAACTATACTTGAGTAGTACTACTTCCATTTGACATCTGTCCTGCAGCTTTCCTGGAATCCTTAAAGATAGACTCTATCTCATGATTAATGTGATCGCTGTCTAGTATTGCTAATGGATAAAATAATATTTTAACTGGCTTTAATTAGGAATTAATTTTATCATTCAAATAATAACAACCCGCAGAACTGATGTGTATATTTTTATTTCGTGTTGAACAAAGACGTTCTCAAATCAAAGTTGGAGTCTCTTTGACCTGTTTTACTTCGTATTGACAATCTACTTTGATCATATTAAGGTTTTCTTAATACATATATATCGACATCATCCTCTCCTTCGATTGTCATTGACTCAATCTCTTGTCTTGATCTTATCTCGAATAGTGGCACTACATTAATTAAATGATGAGTAAATAAGAAACGCTATGACATCACTTTCATCATTTTCTTGGTTTTACACTATCTATTGTAGGTTAATTTACTAACGTAAGTAGTAAACTTGTCGTTGGGCGGATTAAATTGTAGTTAGACGATGGATAGACTCGACTATTTGAATATACGTTCTTACGCGTATTTGTTGATGATTTAAGAAGACTAAGGGATGAATTTGACATGAGAGAGTTATTATACAATTCAGAAATTGGACTAAAAGTTATTGACATTAAGTCAATAAAGAAGAAATACAGCTGTTTAACGTAATAGTTGTTTGCTTTCTGTTCTTTTAAAAATCAATAGGTGGGCATAAACTAGATAAATGTATCTACATTGACTTTTATGATACAATCTCATACCTTCTTTCTTTTCTCTTTTTTGTCATACCATAACCCCGGATAGAATAGAAATCTTAAGGCTTGCTAGTTTACTATCTTCCTATCCTTTGGTTAATCCTTATATTGTATAATCTTCTAGTCAATTATGTAGGTGAGAATGATGCTGTAATAATATGTTGTACTTTGCAAGATTTAGAAGTAGTTTACTATTTTTCTACCCTTTCTTTTATTCCTTTTATTGTATAATCTTCTAATCTATTACAGGATGAGAATGATCATTTAACATTATGCTGATTTTGCAAAGTGTAGAAGTAGCTTCTGTTCTTCTTCATTCCTTTCATTGTATAATCTTCTACTCTATTATATGAGTGAGATTGATGGTGTAATACTATGCTGTACTTTGCAGGGTTTAGAAGTAGTTTCTGGCCTTCTTTACTCCTTTTATTTTATAATCTGCTAGTCTATTACATAAGTGAGAATGATGGCGTGATATTATGCTGTCTTTGACAGGTTTGGAAGTGGTTACTGTCATTCTTTATTCCTTTTATTGTATAATCTTCTAATCTATTACATGAGTGAGAATGGTACTGTAATATTAGGCTATACTTTGCAAGGTTTAGAAGTAGTTTCTGTCCTTTTTATTTCTTTCGCTGATAATCTTCTAGTCTATTACATGAGTGAGAATAATGTTGTAATATTGCACTTTGCAAGATATAAGAGCAGTTTTTTGTCCTTCTTTACTCTCTTTATTGTGTAATCTACTAGTCTACTACGTGAGTAAGAATGATCCTGTAATATTTTGCTATAATTTTAAAAGGTTTAGAAGTTTTTTGTCCTTGCTGCATTGCTTTCAATTAAAATTAACGTAATAGTATGCTGTACTTTGCAAGGTTTAGAATTTTTTTTTCCTTTCGCATTAATTGTAATTAAAATTGATTATGTAAGTAATCATATTCCCTTGTTGCTTTAGTTACTTGGGCAGGCATCATAATACAGCAATCATCAATAGGTTCTAGGTAAAGATATCAATAGATATTTTACTACATGTACGAAAGATGTTTCTTTCTCGGTTATGACTAATGGGGGATAGGATCGCAATTCTGAAAAATTTTCCTATTTATTACATAGAGCATTTTGTCTATTTAGATGATCCTTTATCATGACCCTATTCTGAAAAATTTCCTATTTATTACATAGGGCACCCTATTCTGAAAGATTTTTCTTCAGAATATTTGCTGAAATAATTTTTCAATATGGTCGTTTTGTGACCATGTTCAAAGAATTCTAGCTATTTATTCAGTATGATTATTTTATGGTCCTGTTAAAAAGACTTTTTTTAACTTATTACGCAGGATATTTTGGCTTATTAAATGGTTCTTCAATTGTTATGAAAGAGTTTTCTTATTTATTACTCGGGATATTTTTGGCTTGTTAAGTCATTTTTTATCATGATCGTTTTATGATGATGTTCTGAAAGAATTTTTCCATCCATTACATAAAACATTTGGTCTATTAAATAACTCTTCAACTTGATCGCTTCCTGACTATGTTCTAAAAGATCGTAAATAATTGATTATTATTGTAGAACATGATCATTTTCATGACCAAGTTTTGAAAGACTTCAGCTTATTTAGTATTCTCAACATCACCTCGCTATGACCATGTTTAGGAGATGGCCTTTTTAGTTAACAAGCCAATTTAGCTTAGTCATGGTTATTTCGTTATCATACTCTTTATTCCTATTATTTAGTAAGAGACTCTAGAATAAGGTGCTTTACCTTGAGGCTAAATCAAGCTTCTCATACCTAAATCAGTGTTTACTAGTTCAACTGCAGCATTCTTTTCTCTCGTTATACAATAACGATCTTGATGAGTGGTTTAAATGTAAAGCAATGATAATACCTAGAGTAAACTTAAGCTATTGATGGCTAGATTTAAAGTAGCTAAAAATAACGTTGTAGAAATATTCAATCGATATCTTCAGATAAGTGTCTGGTATGATATTTTAGAACAAAACTTTGAACAAAATACATTCAGCTTTCTCTGCTTTAATCTATCAAATCATTGATTTGGTAGTAGCCCCAATAAGGTAAGATGCAAATAGAAATACCCCTCTAGCAGTCGGGTAGATTTGATAGAAAAGAGCAAATTACTTTTGCTTTTGACTTTTATTCGTGATTGAAGAATGTAATCGTTAAAGTATTCAATCAAATTATCTATGTGGTAGTAGCATGAAATAAGACATGATAAAGGTGCAGTAAATGGGATTATCCTCTAGCAGTTGGGTATATCTAATAGAAGGATGAATTGCTCTTGCTTTTAACTGTGTAATGATGTCTAGTAACTTAAGAATATAATCCTTAAAGTATTCAATCTATTGTCGACACTTTCTTCTTGATATTGTAAATGTGGAACTACGGGTGATGAAGATACTTGTAGTTCTCCTTTGCTCGTCTAAATCATTTGATTTTAAGTGATAGTGAATGAATAGGGTAGAGAAAATAGATAAAAATTACCACCGAAAATGGGATAGGATATTAAAAATTTCCTATCATTTTCTTTTGCTTCATTTCAGATTCTGCTGGCACTATCCTGATTACGAAAGAAATCAAGAATAAAAGCCAACACTAGTAATTTATTTCTAGCAATCCATTATCATTTTATTGAAGAGATATCATCCTACAGAAGATCAATTATGAGTAAAGAGAAATTATCACGTGGAATAGCTCAACAAATTCTAGTCACATTAATTGCTTGCATTGCCAACGTTAATTTCGGATTTGCTACGCAATATTCATCGCAAGCCACTCCACAATTGCAAAATAAACTCTTAGGCGATCGATACTTGACCAATTTGGATGTTAGCTTATTTGGGGTAAGTGAAGAATCTGTAGTCTTATTGCTTTACAATCCTTGTTTTCATTTCTCCATAATTTGTCGAAAGTATATTATACCGATATTCTGTATGCGATAGCATGGCGAAAATGGTGCAAGTATAACACACTTTGCACCGATTTATATATGTGTATATAGATCTTCGTCTAGTAGACCATAGGCAATGCCACAAATAGCGCAAGGACCGTAGTATACGATCATGAATTACTCGATGAAATAAATCTGTCAAAGTATCTATACTTTTGCCCATTCTACCTTGTAGGTAGATACTGGATAGAATTTAGCAAATTATTTTTATTTCGAGATAGCCTAATTGACATTTATTTAACTAAATCTACGTATACACATTAAGATGGCCGATTCAATTCGGAATAGTATAAGAATATGAATCATCTTATTTGCTGTTAATAATATTCTCTTGACGTCCAATGCCTTTAAATCTATCCAAGGCAAAGTATACTTGTGCCCTTTTTACCTCACAATTCAATACAGGATATTATTCGAGCTTGCATTATTTCATGTAACAGTAATTGACTTAATATTCATAGAAATAAAGCTATCCAAGGTTAATTACAGTCTATAGATTTAAAATCGGTCTAAAGTTCATTACACGTTTACTATTTTTACCTGACAACTGGATAGTGGACAAAAGTAATTCACTTTTTAATTAAAGCATCTACTTGATATCTGCTCAATTAAATCTATGTAAAGTAAATTCTGCTTGTGCCGTTCTTGATAATTTAGCACTTATCAAACATTAAATCTACATCATTTAGTCATTATTTTCTGTTGGTGGCATCATTGGTGGTATTATCGGCAGTTTATTCCTTCGTTACTTGGGCAGAAGATCAACTTTAGTTGTTTGCTCAGCTCCGTTTGTTTTAGGTTGGTGTTTTATTATGTATGGACCAAACAAAATTTATTTAATCATTGGTCGTACATTTACCGGCATTGGAGCTATTCTAGCAGCGATGGCTGCACCAGTAAGTAATACAGATGTTGGCATTAATCGATTCCTGTTTGTGATTATGATACTTAACTCAAGCACTCTGGGTTTAAGTCTAACTTTGAAATTGTAATGATTTCTTTATATCCATACTATAAGTGAATATAAATTGAGTTAGTAAGAAGTGAAAGAGTGTATAAATTTGATTTTTCTAACTTGATTGGAAATTTCGAATCATTTTATTCATTTTTTAAGATTCATGTACTAGAGATTTATGGTAATTACATTGTTTTTGTCGTTATATTTGGTTTAACTTTCAGTGCTGTACGTTTTGATTTTTGCGATAATTTTTAAATGTAGATTTTAATGTATAAACGACTATAATTCAATTAGAAAAAGAAGTTGAAGACTTTATAAAATTGATTAGCGTCATATTACTGATGTTTATAATCCTATTTTATTTTAAGATTTATGTGGCAGAAACCTGTTCTCCATCTATTCGTGGGCGACTAGTTTCAGCAACATTTTTAGCCGCTATTTGTGGTAACTTTTTATGCGTTCTTTTCTCACTAATTCTTAACTGGAATTACTTGGCGTTAGTGAGTGTCGTACTATTAACTATCTTATCCATCGCTATGGCGTTTTTGCCTGAAACACCAAGATGGTTATTATCACAGGGTCGAACCTACCAAGCATTTTATGCGCTTAAGTAAGACAGTTCCATGATATAATTATATTATAGAATTTTGTGATTAAATTACCTATCTGGGATATAGCTTATAACTTCTTCACAAACGGCTGAGTTCCTATGTTACTCAAGTTCAAATCGTTTATAAGCCATTATATTTGACTTGTACTTCAAAATAATGTATAATAAGCAATCTAATATCAATTCCGTAATGCTCATTGCAAATATCGAAACTCTCGAGCTAGTTTATTAATATAGAACTATCAACAACGAATAATGGTTATTTGTAGCTGTATACCCCAGCTCTTGGTTAAAATTTGATCTTCTTGATGAATACTGTATCTCCCTTTACTAACGATACATTGCCATTTTCTATTTGGAATATTACTAGATGGCTACGCGGAGATGATCAAGATATTCGACCTGAATTACAAGCAATCGATCAGAGTCTTAACGATAATCAAAAATTAAAATGTTCTGAGTTACGTCAGCCAGCAGTATTAAAGCCTCTTATGATATCCATTATGTTAATGATACTACAGCAAACGTCGGGAATCAATATTTTCATTTTTTATGGTGTCTCGATTATTCAAAGAACTGGAATTTCCGCAGGCTATGAGGTAGTGTTTACAGTCATTTATGCAACAATTAAATTTCCCTGCTCTTTTTATATTCACAATCAGTTACCATCACAAATGATTCATATTAGCTATGCCCTATTTTATATCTCGTTAATACTTTAAGATTGGAAATTTAATTTCTGATTGCCATTTGTAAGATCCAATTGCTATTGCTATGCCACTACTACTCTATTTTAAGAGTGAATATCTCATTTTTGATTCCTTTGCGTAAGATTTATTTGCTATTAATAAGCAAGATTCCGCAATATTCAGTAGATTTCGTAGATTTGCCTTATAGTAGTAGTATATAGAATAATTACTATACGCTGCAAGTAGATATATCGAATAAAAATCAATGCAGCTTATTTTTCAAAGGATTTACGAGTTAAAGCCTCCTAACATTCTTAGTATATTAATAGCTTTTGTTAACATATATATCTTAAAGGGTCTTACGATTACAAAAAATTTCATAAAGTTTATTTCTTTTATTAGATATCGTAAGCGTAGAGGTAGATCTTGTGATATCTGTTTCTTTTATTAGTATAATTTATAATGCAGGTATTGAAAGTCTCTTATAGCTATACGTATTAACTCTTTAATTATGTGATTCTGAGCATAAATGATTACTTTTAATGTATATCATAGACCAAAGGAAATTTATACCGTATCTATTTCTCTTATCAGCTCATTAATTTAGCACAAATAGCTACATATCTCATAGCTGCAGTAGATTTTATGGCATTTATTCTATTATTAGTATTGATACCAAGGTTCAAGTAACTGATATTATTTTGCTTGCCGTAGCATATTTTATAATATTTATCATATATAATATGCTTCTCTCTCAATTGCTTTGATTACAGTATATTGAAATCTGATGGTATATATTTCGATATCGACTAGAAATGCAGAATAGCGAATGAGTAGTCAGGTCAATTCGTCATTTAAGTGTAAATGGCGAATTCTTGATAGCGAATAAGCATTTCCATTAGTAACAGAATATGTCCAACGGAGGTACTATAGTACTATCCCTTTATCTTTAAACCAGGTAGAGCTCTTCTTTCGGTCTATATACCGTATCACGAATAGAGTACATAGTTAAAGATGTTAAAAAAATTTGCAATAGATATAGAAATTCGTTAGTATACGGATAAAATGAGGTAATGATATTGACTGTATCCGAGGGTGTGCTACCTAGCTTATGTATTGGCTAAATCTTAATTTTAACCAGCAAAGAGCCCTTTTAAGGCTGTACGATGTTCTTTCGATATGCTTGTGAAATACTCATCGTTTTACATTATCGGTTTATCTATCTAGATTAGCGTTATCCTGGTCGGTGGACTACTTCTATCGACGATATCAACCCTATACACAGTTGATTACTTTGGTCGCAGGAAAATGCTAATTACATCTGGTCTTGGTATGGCCGTAGGTCATTTTTGTTTTGGTATTTATCATTTAATGGTTATTTCTGAGGCAGCAGGAGATCTCCGCTGGCTTGCTGTTGCTACCGTTGCAATTATCTTAGTATCATTCGGTTTAGGTTGGGGAGCTGTGCCATTTTTAAGCATGTCTGAACTTTTACCCATTCGCATAAGATCAGTTGGCAGTGGCTTAGCTATGATAGCAAATTGGTTGACAGCATTTATAGTAACTTATTTTTATGATAAAATGACAAAAACGATGGAAATATACGGTACCTTCTGGCTCTATGCCGTATTTTCAATCATTGCAGTTATTTATGTCTATTATGCACTTCCAGAAACGAAGGGGAAATCTTTAGAAGAGATAGAAGCTTACTTTCGTCTAAACAAACGAGTATATAATAGTGAAGAAGAAATGGAATTAAGCCCGAAAGATTAGAAAGTATTTACTGGAAATATGCAATGAGAAAGCTATTTCTATTAATAGGTTGAAAATTATTTATGTTATATCCCTATATCCACTCCTACGCTGGATATTATTTATCTACTCGTATTAAAGTCTTCTAATTATTATGATTAGATGTTGACGTAAGATGTACTTTGCAAATATTGATACCTAATGTCTGATATAACTTCCTTGCTTGTTATGAATTTGTTACAGCTTTATGCAGCATTCTGACATAATACTGTGCCTGTGTCTTTAAAATTTAATATTCTTTGATTATACAGTATGAGTATATGATGTCATATAACATATTTTCGTGGCTATTGATACCAAAATGTGTTAATGATTGAACAAATTTTGGAAACATACAGTCTTTGGGACGATTGCTTTATGCTGTATAAAATGTTATTGAAGGGCGTATAAAAATACGCTCAATTGTAATAAATATAAAATGCAATTACGATAGATGAGAGTTTCGCTACTAGCTTACATTAATGCAAGTAATCAAGCTTTACGGGCGTTTTCTATGTACGGTATAGTAGTTATAACTTCCTTAGCAATTACAGTACTCAGTATTGCTTACAGTAATAGCTTTACAGCAGTTATGTAGCAATGCTGCTCCGAATTCCGCAATAACACTTTACGTACTTGACGTGCGTATAGGCACGTTCTAAATTTTGATGAAGACGGAAGATGGGCTATCTGGGACGGTGACCATAGTAAAGGCTAGATACAGTATCGTATTAGGATCTTTATAATATCGTAATGTGAAGTTCACAAAGCAACTAAGACCAAATTACAAACGTACATGTAACTTAGAGAGTAATTACGCACAATGTAAAGATTGTTATATAGGCATACAGTATATACCGTACATAGTAGGCATAACTGTGAATGTAATCATAATTCCCATTATGTTATTTTTAAGATTGGTACATTTTTATTTTAGTAATAAATCTGTATCAGCGATATTGTGCAGACTAGAATTAAAAAGCAAATACGTGGTTCTAGACGTTTAAATCTTGCTGAAATAAACTTTTATCACTAAAATTTAGCAACAGAGATTTTCTCTAGAAATAGAAGGGCAGCAGTAGCCATCACACTATCGCATTCCGTATACTGTCTCTAAGTCTTCAATTAATTGCCTCTTCTCTTCCTCTGGTAGGAACGATGAGCGGGCTGCATTGAACGCCTGTAAAAAATAGCAGACAGGTAAGATTGATAATAACTAGAATGCCAAGGCATGAACTGTTTTAATATGTAAGTAATAGATTAATGACAAAATCTTCGCCTACTGTCTTATTATACTTATTATATGTAACGATTATTGTGGAAAAATTAATTACCGCTCTTGTTAGTACAGGGAAGTCGTAGCCCCATTCATTATAAACTAAGTTATACTCGTCAGCAACTGTTGAATTAATACATAAAGAGTCGTCGGAATTTATAGAGAAATTGAATCCATCATTAATAAACCTGAAAGACGTAAAAATTTAAATGAACACAATGATTGCAATATTCTATAAAATCTTATAATAACTTCAACTTTTATAAGCTAATAACACTGTCGAACCGTTTCCCTGGATGATTCTTAAAACTTGGCACAGATCCGGTAAGGATGCTTGAAGTAGGACACAGCTGTGGAATACAGAGTAAAATTACAATTCCAAATATAAGGATAACATACAATTTGACTGTTTTTCAAGAATTAAATTACAACCTCAAGATGAATTTTCTCCTTTTTGATCACATTATACAGTTCTTCATCTTGTACCAAGTGATAACCATGGCCTATTCTCTCAGCACTTAACCAATCCAAGGACTATAAGTGTTAATGAATAGGTAGAGAAACAAATTATCGAGTACGAACATAAATATCCTGTGACAAGTTGTTTAGTTTAGCCAAAACCTGGAGGATTTTTTAGTTTGAACTAAGTAATCTATTATCTAATCAATATTGTCAAAGTCTTCAGCATAGTAATAATACATTCTATACCTCTCGTATGTTCTGAGCTGGTCCCGCTTCCCCAGCATGTGCAGTTCTGTGAATACCGAATTTCTTGGCTTCCTTTAATTGTATAATCGAGGGTAAAATAGTTATAATCCTGGTTCACACAATCTTAGTATCGATACACGTACGTGAAAATAAATTCTGATCTTGGTAGCTTACTTGAAATGCTTTGACAAATTCATCATTAGCCACAATCGGGTAAAGCGTTTCATCTCCAGCAACATCAATCCCAACAACACCCTTACCATAATATTTTTTACAAAGAGCAACCGTTTCTGCTGCCCACTCTGAAGGGTAAATTGTGAAGTAAAACGTATTATCAAGACTGTATAGATATTTTTGATCACTTTAAATGTCAAATCATTAAATTAAGATTATACGATGTCATTATCTTCTACTTATATTGGAATAGATTGACTTTATTTAATTCCTAATAAGTAGTTTTAGAATTGCAAGTAAACATGGTGAGGGTAGCAAAGTATTTAGCCTCACATTCATTATCATATATATTTCATTAAGGATGACTCATAATACAAGATTAACATTCTCCATATATTATAGTGATACCTGGAAACGGTCGAACGAGACAGAGAATACTCCTAACTTTAATACCGTAGCGTTGGGATCCTTCGGCAAAAGCATCTAATAAAATCTGAACTACTTCATCACTTGTTAATGAGTATTGCTCTGAATCTCCTTCCACGTTTGGTTTTTGACCACACATAAACTGAGGGCAATAGCGTACCTCAGAGTACAAAACACCATAATTTGCTTGATCTTCGCAGAATTCAAGAGCACAGCGTCGTAGGGCATCCCGATCACCTCTAAATTTCAAATATATGCAGACATTATGAGCTAATAATGTGTTGGTTAGCTGTTACATTCTACAGACGTTAAAAGTGTACGTTCTAACCATAACATTGAATTCAATCAATATTGCATAGGTCTGTTAGATGAAAGTAGAATTGGATTAAAGTAGATCGGCTAATTTCTAATTGGGATTTAAAATTACGAGATAAGGTAGAATACATATCAATATTGCGTACTCGTATGGAATAAATAGCGCGAAGAAGAGTTGGGGATAGAACAGGCATTAAATTATTACCATTAACAAACAGTTATTCATTTTGGTAGTGTTATCGCTGTGAGATATCACTTATGTTTAAAGGAGTAAGCTTTGTCATTAAGGGTCATGACTGTTTACTGTTTAAAAAGAGCATTACTGTACCTGATAACCGAATTGAATATACCAAATGCCTCTAAAAATACTGTTAAAGACTTTACTTCTTTATTGGCACAGGATACATATTCCTTCAATTGTTCAGCATTATCGACAGGCAATTCGATACCTTTGGTTCTATTTAAATTAAATATCAATTCAATTATTCAAGGAGAATGACCGAATAAATCGGCGAAAATAAACAGCGCATTTTACATGATGAACGGGCTTGTTAAGGCATATATGACATCTATCACACGATACTGTATATAGGGCACAGTACAGTATAGTAGCTCAAGCTGTACTCTATTGCAGTTCTACTTGTATTTCATCTATTTCGGTTATGTATTAAGTTTGCAGCACAATTCCTACTCGCTCATGGCTGCATGAAAAGTGAATAGTTCAAATTCTAAAGATATTACAACATCAAGCTTGATTGAAATCTGAACAGCGATATAAATTTCTCTTCTACTTTGATCGCAGTTTATCACATACAGTATCCTATACGCGTACTATCACTAGTATAAAGCTATTCTCTATTTATGGTTTTTAGTTGAAGGCCTATCCTTCCATACCTGGCTAGATCTACAACTGTTTCTGCACGGAGAGCGCCATCGAAGTGAGTATGTAGTTCAACCTAGTCCAAGGATGATATATATATATATATGTATAAGTTTCATGGAAAATAATAATACTGAAAGTACTCAAGTCGGTAAAAGAATCAGCACCGGCTGTTGCTGATATTGCATAGATTAAAGTTAATTACCAATCCTTTGATCAATCTTAATCGATCTTAATACGATCGGTCACACAGACTACGATTAAGCTTCTAATGGGGTAGTTATGTTACTTTTATTTTATTCTACTATAAGTACAGCCTATTGAGAGCAGATATGCTAATAGTTGGTCTATACTGTTGTATAGGTCTATTGTAGAGTACTTGGAGATTCATGAATTATTAAGTGCAACGAGGATAATGGAACAAAATTCAGTAAGCAGCTTTATAAAGTGTAGAGTATATAACTCTAATAGTACATGTAGTATAGTAAACAGGATGGAATTGCTGAGTCGAACTAGCTCGTGCAATTGATCAGATTTACTACAATAGGTAGTAGGTACTTTATCATAACTTTAGACCGTCTTAGTGAAACGATAGATATTATTTATTTTGCTGTAACGCCGTCGTTTCATTGAGGCTTTCAAATCGAATCGATAAACTTACTTCACGTCTCTATTGAAAGGTTGATTATTTAATTTCTTAATCAGAGAACATAAGTGTAACGTGCAAAGTGTGTAAGATATTGATCTATAAAGTATAATATCAACTATCTTGTACAGTATCATTCTCGTACTACGTGAAGAGAGATGATGGAATGTGAAAAGCACTGAATCTCCATTTCATGCTGATTGTAAATCAACGATGGAAGGCTATTCTATTTTTTTTTCAATAGGTTCTACGTACTTGCTGGAAGAGATGGTTCAATAGCTTTAAGAAGTTACTACACTACTGTATAGGTTAGGCAAACAAATTTAGCAATCCATGACTCTATTCCAAGTGAATATTGCTACTGTTGTCGATAATGCAAGCATTTTGATAGCGTGGTTGTAGAGAAATAAGAGCAAATAAATAAGATGGAAGCGATCACTAAGCAGGTATGACACTATTATTCATTTATTTTTTTAGGCAGATATCAATCATGGGTTGTCATTCCATCGATATAAAACTGGTAGAGATATTCTTCTCACTTATTACTAGTAAGGAATTGAGATCATACAGTTTTGAAAGCCTTGTCTTTAATGAGCATTGATGATTGTTTTAAAGCATGATTTCAGATTGATTAACAAACAATTTATAAACAAAATGGTGGACAGCAAATACCATATGAGTCATCAATAGATTGGAGTTGATCACCTTGCATTTTAAAGTATTTGTAATATTGACAGCCATAAAGATGGGTAAATTGGTCCTTGGTTGCAATCAATTTGGATTGATGATGAGATTTTAGCTAGCCTACGATGCTCCAGATAACTGCGGGCTTTCAAAGGCAGCAATGCGAGACAGCAACTGGAGATTTTACCTTTTGGGTTAAGGAAAGCGTAGGACGCATGTCCTCGAAATCCAGGAATAGATCAATAATGTAAAAATAGATGGTGGGTGTGGATGTAGTATGGACATGCTAATAGTACCGCGGCCGTCTTTGTACTACATTATAGTAGAATAGCAATTAAGAATAAAGCGGCTTTAGCGCCATATTATTCCTTACTAGCAGACGTTCCCTTGGCGGACTTGCACTGTTGTTATATTCAGTGGATGGCCAATTTTCTGGTGGTAGTACAGTATACTTTGCCTATGGAAGAGTTTTCAATACTTACATAAAGAAAAAAAATAAAATAAATATCCCGTAAATATGACTAGTGCAACATCCTACTGGTGATAGTTGGGCGTACCTTTATCCTATTCAGTGCCAAATCGACTTTCAAAAATGTTCGACTTAGTCAATAAGTACGCTAAGGATCAGGAGCAGCTGTAGGGTGTTTGATAATTTTTGTAGAATATCTTACTTGAGATCGATGCTCGTTCCTTATGAAGCAGTAGGCTTTTCCCATACCTGCTTTTTCTTTCATCTCCGTGTAGTTTTCTCGTACGACCTCCATACTACCACCACAGCTCGGTGGATTCTTTTCTTTTAGAGCTCTCTCTCTCTGCATGTTCTCAGTTCCGTGCTGTTTTATCGTGAGTATCTAACTAAAGTGCGTTTGCTTGTACCGTATTATTAATAAAGGAAAGTGAGCAACATTCCATTTTCAATGTTGACTTAGTACTTGATTATAGCTGTTGTATCCAAAATACGGATGGATCATGCTACAAAGACGCTGTAAATGTGTCTCCAGCCTTTTCATTAGATCCATATAAGCAACCACTAAAAATGAATACTGTTATTGATTGCATTGAATAGAATGATTGATTAATCCTTTAAAATCAGCCGGAGACTTTGCTGCATGGAGAGAATTCATTCTGGTATTTACTGCAGTCAGTCGATTGATTCGTTACTTCCTTCAAAATCGACTGGAGTCTTGGCTGCACGCAGAGCAGTGTTTCTTTACTGCTTATTAGATTAGACGCAACGATTAAATTATTGTACACCTAGTTTGTGGTTAGTAGAGGGACTACTAATGGTAAAAGACTAAGGACGTACAACAAGAAGGCAATCGGAGCTATATGACTGCGATCCTATTTACTGATCTTCTAAGTGTGTCTTAAGAAACATTACAACCATAATCAGCATGAGTTGCCGCTAGGGGTACTTTATTTGCAAGGATTACTTAAATAGCAAAATATCATGGAATACTGCATTAATAGTCTATGATATTGATCAACATATGCCGTGCCAGTATCGGCGCTAACGAGGTTAAATTGAGTATATTTTCTTTTTTCATATAACCCAATTAAAAGGTTATAGCTACGCTAAAAGTGGCTGTATTGGTTCTAAACCAATTCCAAACTAAATTCCGTAAGCTGAAAATTTGTCATCACAAATAGAGTTCGAAAGGCTTAATTTACATTAGGAATTATGAAATCAATTCTGCAAAGGGGAGATAAATCGCAAAAATGCCTTGTGCCATTGATTTTGCTTTTATAAGCAAATTAATTGCTTCTTTATACTATTTTAAGAGGTTAGATTGATCCATGGAAAAACTAAAGAGTCTATCTCCTCCAAGTACGTTATCTACTGCTTTATAAATTACCAGAAAAACCTGGATAAAACATGGCAAGCTCTAAATTGTGGTTATTATCGGTCATCGAACCTGGAGAGTAATAGAGGCTGAACAAATTATTGCTACATAACATAAATGTTACATTTTCACAGGGATTAGTTTATGAATTGATGATCGTCGAAAAACGATCCACAACATTTCAAAACCATTAAGTACTAATCTCAAGCAATATGATCAAAAATGTCATATATCATGAGCAGTCAACGAATTGCCATGACACTTCAGTCTAGATAAGGTCTAAGTAGGTAGACGCTATTAAAGCAGGAAGAGACAGTTGTCGACTTTGCAGAATAGCAGGACTCGTCTTTACAGTGATAGGACATCAGACTGGTATCTAATTTATGAATGTTATGCAGTATGCGCATATTTTATATATATGGCAAATAAATAATACTTGTAGCTTATATTACGTTATAATACTTGATTGGTATCTTCAATTTTATTACTGTAGCTCATTGAAAGTTTTTAAGTACTACTGCCATTGCCCTAGCGTTAAAAGATCTTAGACTGATAACACCTAGTTAAGTTAATCGCTACATGTTTAGCTCCTGAAATTTTTAAATCATGTAAAAAGCATCGTGGAAAGGGAGCTGTGTTTATTAATACGAAAGGGTATGAACGAGAACATGCTGTTAAACCTGGTGATAAAATTTGTAGCTTTTTCGGGTAAGTCTTCTAACAATATTATTATGAAATTGGTTATGTTTGATTCTTGCTATAAATGCGGCATTTTCGTAATATTAAAGGAGACCAAAAAAGATTTGGGATTCATACTACAGTTTACGCAAGAGAATCTTAAATAACTGAAAATATTTACCAGTTTATCGTTAGTTCCGTTATTCACTTGTAAGGCTATATAAAGGCGGATTACATTGAATTACTACCAATATAGAGGTAAAGTATTCATAATCTGCAAGTACTACTAATAACATCTTGCGATGGCTTATTACTTGAAGCAGTGTTATTTCTATCGGTTGAGTCTAAGAATGCATAATAAGTAATTAATAAATTCGTTACAATTAGTAAATATCCTATCGTTAAAGAATTGCGGATTATTGGGAAACATTAACCGGAAAGTTTTTCAAAGATTGACTTCTGAGTTTACACAATTCGTACCGTTTGCCTTTTATTTAAGCATCAGTCACATTCTCTAAATTTTAGAAAATAACCTTTATTTTAATACCTTTGAAAAGATGAGAAATTATTGTTATATCTGTATGTATGGTTAGTCTTTAGTACAGTTTCTTTTTCATTCCTACTAAAGGATAAAAGACAGCAATTAATGAGCGAGTTAGAAGATACCTACAGTACGAAAGGGCTAATATCTACAATGACTAATGTACACCAATCATAATTTTAAAACTATATGATGTGGAAATCGCCATATTCTTAAAAGGCAAGCGTTACTTAATTATTCTATACATCTACAGTATAATAAGAGAAATTAATGTAAGCAAAATCAAAGTCGTTAGTAGCTGTTGCAATAAATGTACCATATTACAGTACATAAGAACATTAACTGGTTGTACTAATTATGCCCTACCATTGTTACCCAATCTAAATGATAGATAGTGTAGTATCGATAGTAGTAACTATAGCTACCGTGATCTTGTAGTAACTATAGCCTGGTTATTAAATGATACGGCAACTACATGGGAATATTTTTGAAGTTGTTAAGTTAACTTACTGACTAGTTGAAATATGATTTATATACGAGTATGTTTGCATTTAAATTTGACTCTAGAGATTTAATCTAACTGTTTTTGGCTAATTTTCACCTAAAATTAGTTTTAGTATATTTCTAGGAATCCATATACGAATACTCGTAACGTATGTTTGTAGTTTATACTGTGCTAAATAGCTATATAAACATCAGCGTACGCCATGATAAGGATTATGTAATACCAAGACAATGTGTTTAATGATGAAATAGACGAGTATTAAATCTGAAAATACTGTGTAGAAGATTATGTACGATAGCTAGTTTAGTAGAGTTATCAAGAATTACAGCACGTCTACGATGCAACATTGGCAATAAGCATTAGACTCTAATTAAGCGATAATTGCATGTTTAGCTTGCCCACTGTACTAGTTCTGTTGTTGCTGCTTATATATGATTCAGTACTGTCGTGTAAACTATAGCGCAGTGCTTTGCATCATGTTATGAAAGCCAATACAAATTATGTTGCTTGAATAGTTTAAAGGAGTCTAATAATTCATTGGATAGATTAGTAGTTATTTTGTCGTTCGTTATATCTCTAGAACTACTGTATCACCAAGGGTGCTCTACCAGCAGATCCCTTTTGTGATTTCTCGTACATTAAATTTAGGCCTACAATTATTAGCTCGTAGATTGTGTTAACGATCAATTCATTAGATAGATTAGTAGTTATTTTGTCGTTCGTTATATCTCTAGAACTACTGTATCACCAAGGGTGCTCTACCAGCAGATGCCTTTTGTAATTTCTCGTACGTTTAATTTAGGCCTACAATTATTAGCTCGTAGATTGTGTTAACGATCAATTCATTAACCAGTAGTTCATTAAAAGGCAGAGTATTAAGAGCGACGATAAGGAAATTGTAAGCTATTATGACAGTGCGACACTTTAAGCGTACTCTTACACATAATGCTTACTTATACTGTATCATAATGACACGACGTAAGAACTGTAATGAACATCGTAGTAAAATCAATCAATGTGGATGATATACAGTATATAATTAATTAAATGCGTTAATCAGTATTATCTATCGACTTGTAAATTACGTATAGACAATTATTCGTTTAATATAATTTGCACTATTGATATGTTAACGAATAATTAATAGTGCAAATTCTATTAAATGAATAATACTTTATACATAATTTACAAGTGGCTAATACTGATTAACGCACTTAATTATATCTATCATTCACATTGATTGATTTTACTACGATCGTTGCGCTCGAGTAGCCAAAGCATGAAAAGCTCTTCATAGAATACGTCTACAAGTTGACTAGAGTACAGTAGATTAAATGATCACAAATCAATTGATAACTATACAAGTTTTAGTGACTTTGCGAACTCCAATATAATTTGGTAAATGACAAGCAGTCAGAAACGATAGATTCTCATTTATTCAATACGAAAGACTATCGCAGTACTTTTTTATTGATAACTCTGTCGAACTGAAGACAAATCAATTTACCCTCAGGCCTGTATATAACATCAGTACAGCACAACGAAAATGGAACAATTACACACAGTTATCTACGATTATCTTATTCTATTTCTGTTAGTCTAAATATGTAGAGGCATTAGGATTGATTATTTCTTGCCCTTGGCAGCCTTTTGCGCGGACTTTGTGACTTTACCGCCATGTTCCATTTTTTCAACTGACTTAATAACACCAACTGCTACGGTTTGCCTCATGTCACGAACGGCGAAACGACCCAATGGAGGATAATCGACAAAAGCTTCAACGCACATAGGCTTGTTCGGAGTTAAGGTAATCATACTAGCATCACCACTTTTGACCATTTTGGGGTTTTCTTCCAACACTTTACCACTTCGACGATCGATCTTCTGGTCTAAGGTACTGAATTTGCATGCGATATGAGCGGTGTGGCAATCCAATACTGGAGAGTAGCCAGCTCGAATCTCACCGGGATGATTTAAAATAATAACCTGAGCCTTGAAAGACTTGGCTTCTTTTGGAGGGTCGTTCTTAGAATCACCAGCAACCATGCCACGACGGATATCCTTTACCGAGACGTTTTTGACATTAAATCCGACATTATCACCAGGTAAGGCTTCAGTCAAGGATTCGTGATGCATTTCGACCGATTTAACTTCGGTAGTAATATTAGCTGGAGAAAATGTAACAATCACACCGGGTTTTAATATACCAGTTTCGACACGTCCTACAGGAACGGTACCAATACCACCAATCTTGTATACATCCTGTAAAGGTAAGCGCAATGGCTTATCTGAAGGCCTTTTTGGAGGCAAGATAGAATCGAGGGCCTGGTATAACGTTTTACCACTGGCATTGCCTTCCTTACGTTCTATTGACCAACCCTTATACCATGGCATATTTGCACTTTCTTCTATCATGTTATCGCCATGCCAACCTGAGATAGGCACGTACGCTACTGCTTTGGGATTATAACCGACTTTTTTGACATAACTGCTTACTTCTTTTACAATTTCATTATAACGGGCTTGGCTATATGGCGGCTCGGTGTTGTCTATTTTATTAATGCCAACGATCATTTGCTTTACACCAAGTGTATAAGCTAATAAAGCATGTTCACGTGTTTGGCCGTTCTTGGAAATACCGGCTTCGAATTCACCTGTACTGGCAGCAACGATCAGTACGGCACAGTCTGCCTAGAGATTAAAGCGATCATGGATTAGCTTTTAAAGGAGAGAAATAGATTGATTGATTAATTAAAGGGTAGTCTAGAAATGCAAGTTTTTTTCAGATAGGGAGTTGTTGTAGTCTATTTACCTGAGATGTTCCAGTGATCATATTCTTGATGAAATCTCTATGACCAGGGGCATCAATAATAGTCACCATATACTTTTCAGTTTCAAATTTCCATAGAGCAATATCAATGGTGATACCGCGTTCGCGTTCAGCTTTTAGTTTGTCTAAAACCCAAGCGTACTTGAATGAACCCTTACCCATCTAGAAATGGGGAAAAAATTCGTCATCTTAACTCCCTTATTATTCAAGCGTGGAAAAACTACTGTAAAATATCTGCAGTTACAGTCGTTTATTATTAGATATAAGAAGGAGAAGGCTTGTTCCCTATGTCCACTGGTAAAACGCATGTGACAGAAGAGGGAAAAGGGCGTTTAACTTACTTCTTGGGCTTCTTTTTCAAATTTTTCAATGGCTCGCTTGTCGATACCACCACACTTGTAAATCAAGTGGCCAGTACTGGTAGATTTACCAGAGTCGACATGACCAATAACAACAATATTAATATGTATTTTTTCCTTTCCCATTTTACTAGGATTGATTGGATTTCAGTCAAGTGTAGGTACTGCAGGATTTTCCCTCAAAAACTACAACCACCGGTAGAGTATTTCAATCAGGGAGTCGCGTGTAACCGGAGAGCGGCAAATAGGACCCAAATTTCTCTGACTTGATGCCTATATCCTATCTTTTATTTGGGTTTCTGTATAAAAGGAAAGACCACTCCCTGATAAAACGACAATATATCCACGGTCGGCCAAATGCCATTTATCCTGATGCGATGTACTTATGCGACTGTCTATCTGCTTATGCTTGGCTTTCCGACGCAGTGGTCGGTCATGCCGATAATAACAATCGCTCAATAGAGCCACAGGCGAGAAAACGTCAATAGCTTAGTTACTGCACAGTGCTGCTTTTGTCAGCGTCTTCTATTACTTTGCCTGTCTTTCTACAGGCATTCTTCATCGAAGAAAAGCTATTCTTTCCATTTTTGGTTGCTTGGAGAGAAAGGTGGAATTCCCCGAAGGCATAGCGACAACTACGATCACTGTCGTGCCAAAATCGTGTACTCCTTTGTGTATTATGTTACTGTCATGGACTACTGTAACAGTAGGATCAATTTATGTGGGAAAATTTCTGAATGAGAGAGGGACTCTTCAATTAATTCTTCAATGAAGAGATTTACTGTAGTATGGTAGTCCCAGTTTCTAGTAGTCCAAGCTACAATATATATATATATATATATATATACACTCAGTAGACCATGTCAAAGTGTGTCAAATATAGATGTCGTCATAATATTATTATAATAATATCATTTCTAACAATTTTGATACTAAACTGTAATCCATACATCCCGATTTAGTGACGCTGAGCAATGATGATACAAATGGAGAATTGGGTATGTGTAATTCATTACACTAGTCTCTTTCTCTAGAGGTAGAATTTTACTGTACAGCAGTGTTTTACCGCTTCCTTCTTATTCATTCCGAAATCCAAAGACAACTCATCTTGTCCAATCCGACTCCAATCCAACTTCAATCCAAAATCCAAAACATAATAATAATAATTTTTAAAATTACGATCCAATCCAGTTCGATTAAAGTATCAAAGTGTGTACTAAAGGACTTTATACCACAGTATTGAAACAAGTTTTCTTACTATTTACTTGTGTATTGACATTGATTTCATCATCGTAATCATGTTCTGCAGACATACTCCTACCCGTACATATCTATTTTATCAAGAAATTTCAGCGAATCATAATTTTAATTTTTCACTCAAATTTGGCCATGGAAAATAGTGTAATCACATTGGGAAATCGACCATTCTGTACTTGTTGTTTTAACTGAACTACAGTAGATGCCGTGGAAAGGAGAAAAACTACTGTTGCACAGACAGACATTTATTTCCAAAGTCATCTCTTCAAGATATACTACGCAACACTTCGTTATGGCAGTACTTTAGTATACAGACGGTTGATTTTGGATTGAGTGATATTTTCTCAATGAAGTAATGCTACATTGAATATTATTATCTGTTATAAAGTTCTGATTGAAAATAGTTCTGTAAGATTCTAAACGCTACTTAAATTAGTACCAGTGATTTAAAAATAGCCATGGAAGATCCATACTAACTACAGTAGTCCTTTTTCGATACAGAAATTTCCGGCTTCATTGAGTAAGAAAAGTCCGTCTGTCTGAGAGTGATGACAGTGTGTAGTACTACTACTGGATCAATAGAATAGTGTATATGACGTATTATATGTTATATATACACTACTGTACGTCTACAGTATATATGTCATATACGATAAATAAATAAATAAATAATAATATGGCAGTATGTAATACGAGTATAATTAATTAATGAAGTGGCCAGAACAGCCCCCCACCCGCCCCCATGTACAGTAACACGGAGTTGTTTACTACTTTAGAAGCATGATGCAAGATGGTACAAGTGCAAGCATAGAGAGCTAAAAAATTGACGAGCTGTAAGAGATGAATCAGTAGTTTGCTGTACAGAAATCTGCAAAATAAGGCTGCAAAATAGCCTTGTGTACAAACTGTAAATACTCGAGCGAACCCAAAATGCACGATATTATCAAAAATCTTAGCTAGAGAATTTGATATCATGTCTAGCTCAGGGACTTGCAAGTCTATACTAATGAATTATAATGATACGACTTTTTAACTTCAACAACTTCGCCATCTTGCATTTTGCATTTCTGGTCCGTTTCATTAGCGAACTGTACCGTACCGTACCGTACTGAGCGGTACGGTACGGTCAATCGGTCACCAGACTACTGTAGTTAATTTACATCGACAGTCTGATTAATTTCGATGGCAGCCTGAAACGATATAATTGAGTAAGTTCAATCAGGCCCGAACTAGATACATTCTATATGTGGAGATATCCTTCTACGGGTATATACATATATATATATAAATATTCTACAGCTACGCAATACAACTTTGATTTTTGAACGAAGGAGTGCCATCGGAAATAATCTGACTCGAGTGGTCCATGATACGGTACAGTACAGTACAGTACTGTACAGTACATACTGTACTGTAGCTTCCTTAATGACTACAATTGAGAGTGAGCAGCTGAGCATTGAGCAAGTCCTGCAGTAAAGAGCTCCTCAACGTTCGACATTTTCAGAAGATGGCATCCCGAGGTCCAGATAGTCTCAAATGGAAGGTAAGCAAACATTAATATGCATAAGACAGGTTTTAAGTGTGTCTGAGTGTCTCTGCTTTGTAGGCGATTTGCATTGATTTACTTGTATAGATCGATATACATTGACTCGTAAATAATCTTCAATGATGGTGCACGGCTAGCTGTTAGTTCGAATGACAGTATAGTACAAGCTTGCAAAGACTTGCTTTGCAATACTTTAAACAGATTGAGCAAATCTTCCAACTATTTCTGCAATCGCGTAGTGGTGGATATCAACCGAATATGATCTGTCCGATAGAATATTTCAATCTGATTCAATTAGCGGGATGGAGGGCTCTTCAGTTTTAACTGTTTGGGCCTGTACGCCATGCTGTCGGCCATAGCCTTTGGTACGGTGTTGTAATTCATTTTGACCGCCGATTACATCATGCCTAATGGAGTACGTAGTCATTTGAAAGGCTTTCGCCGGAACCCTAGATCAAGTACAGGCTTCGTAGATGACCTAGAATCCTAAATCTGTGGTGATAGTATAAATTGCTTAGAGTAGCAGCTGCTGTAAATTACGCTAGACTGATTATGATAAATGCATGTAACGTACAATTATTACATGCAGTGTTAATAATAGCAATGGCCTAGTATCATAGCTGCAATTATTCCTGTACGATATGGCAGCTGATACAGTACGTTATTTGTGGCAATAATTACTCCAAGCTAGACTTTCTAACTGATCTATAATGGCTACCGATCGATAATCGACTTATAGCTATCACTTTAATGAATGACTACATTGGTAATCCTAAATGATAGACTATCGAGTAATCAATCGCTATGTATCTAGAATATCCTTGATCGACTAACAAGTGAGACTCCACGATTGCGATAGCAGTCATTGATATTACAAATACTTACTTTAATTGATAAGTAATTAGTAAGGCTATTCATGATGCTTTCATTACATTGAAATGCTTGAGCTATATTTAACACTTGTGTGCATTGATTCAGACTTTAAATGACCAAGACTTTTATTAAGAATTTGTATCAAAGTATACGAATTTACTGTTTACCCGTATTTACTATAAATTGACTAACCTTACAGGTAGAGTTGCATAACCATTTGGATGGATCCATTCGGGCAGAAACTATTATCGAATTGGCCAGGTAATGATGAAATATTACGTCAATAAATACTGTTATTTATATAATTGTAAAATCTTGTATTTCTTGGAGTAACGCTATAATTGATTTCTAATAAAGTACAAGCATGTAAATTGTGTACAAAGATGACTTCAATCGTATGATAAATACTTATTTTTAATGATACATTACATTTTCCTTGATATGCTATATCATTCGTTACAAGTATGGTATAAGTTGAATGGTACATTTTACAAAATGATATTAATGCAGAAACAAAGGAGCTGAATTACCTTTCGACAATGTAAGACAACTGAAGGAGCTTGTATCTTGCGAGAATGTAGATGTAAAGGATCGATCTTTGAGAAGATTTCTTGAACCTTTTCCCGTTTTCCTTTCAGTTGTCAGGTAATATAATTGATTTAATTCATTAATTTTAAAGCTAAAGAATGGGTAGTAGCTACCACATATCGCAACTTAGCTCGGACAGATTAAATGAGCGCTTCATTTAGCATCATACAAAAGGTGTTAATGCATGCCTAAGATGCAATATTGAGAAAACTCTTTAAGAATGTTGATTATTTCTGTCGTTATATTTAACCGATACATTTATCTTGTATGTGTGCATTTATATATACAAATACAGAGGAGATGCTGCTGCTTTACGACGTTGTGCAATAGAATTCTGTGAAGATCAAGCAAATGAAGGTGTCTTGTACACTGAAGTACGTTATGCCCCCCAGCTACTGAGTAGTGAAGCATCAAATACTATTCAAAATACCGATCAATTAACGGATGAAGGAGCACTGCAGGTTATTCTGGAAGGCCTAGCTGAAGGGTCTCGACGTTATGGTATTACCGTTCGGAGCTTACTATGCTGCATTCGACCATTTCCAGGTACTTGCATTTGAAAAAATATTTTACATTGGATGGTTGAAAGCCTTAAAACAGTTTGCCTTTGCTATGTATATATAATTGGGATATACATATGCAGTATTTGTAACTTACTATACTCTACTTCGATATATTTGTTGTTTTAACTCATATTCAGTATCGATATTGCACTGCTAGACAATGAAGTGCTAAAGTAGATTACACTAACTAAATTATAAACTAGTTAAAAACTGAGTGGTATCAAACGTTGTAATCTAGATGGTTTATTGATGCATAGAGATAGATTTTAAAGATTAACTATTATTACGATAAGCTACGATAACTGAATTAGGTCTGCATATTTCACTGTCTAGAATTATCGGCAAAAACAGCTGAATTATGCAAAAAATTTCATGGAAAAGGAGTTGTTGGTATTGATTTAGCTGGAGATGAAGGAAATTATCCTATTAAACCCGATGATGAATTTGTCAAAGCCTTTCAGGTAAATTTTCGTTGTTGGTGTTATTATTACAAATTTACAATAGCTCTCAGGATACCAGACGTGTAGAAGGTTGAGCGAGTCATTTTTATACTGGTAATCATTTGCATCATGAAAAATGTTATGCTTATAAATACATTATGTAGGAAGTCAAAAAATTCGGTATTCATAGGACCGCTCATGCGGGAGAGGCAGGTCCAGCTGAAAGCATCCGTCAGGTATCAGTTAAGGATTATACATGAATACCAAATCGAAACATCAGATTATCCTTATTTAATTTTATAGTTTATTGTTGATGTTGGTTGACTGATTGGGAATACACTTTAGTATGAGATTCTGTAGACAATTTTTTAAAATTACTGTGTTGATATAGTTATAGAAAGTCAATATTAAGTAGAGGATGGTTTGTGAGCAATAGTGCTATCAGGAATCTTTATATTTTCAAATCTTCTATATATATGTACAATGCATAGAGCTTGGATTGGCTAAGTGCTGAGAGAATAGGTCACGGATATCATTTGGTAGAGGATGAAAAATTGTTTAACAGAGTCAAAAATGAAAAAATTCATCTTGAAGTTAGAAATAGAATTAAATTACTTTTCCTGAATTAAAGGATTGTTTTAACAATTTTATACTCGCTTTTTACTTTTAGCTTTGTCCAACTTCTAGTTTACTTACGGGTTCATGTCATAGTTTTACTGGCCATCCAGCTAAGCGGTTAATCATCTTTGATATAATTGATAATCAGTTGTATTCTACGTCTCTGTCGTACGCACCTATATTGCTTATAATCTACGTTTAAAATTTTAGGTTTATCGATCAAGGCTTAAACTTTTCCTTAAATTGTGATTGTTCGCTGTCTTGCAATGTTGGAGTTGCCGATGAATATGATTTGGTTTACAATGATTGGGGTTATGATATACCAATATTAACCCGAGCGGTAAATTAATGCCATATTCCTGTATAAGTAGTGTAGTGCAATAACGATTGTACTATTTTGTGTATGATTAATTTATCTTTCTTACATAATATCTAGTGAATTTCTGATATTTATATAATCTCTTAATTGCGTTGATTTCACTTTAATTTACAGGCATTCAATGCAGCGCGTTCGTGTTTCTTGCCAGAAGAAGAAAAGAAACAGTTAATCGCAGATTTAGAAAGAATACATGGATTGAGGTGTTAAAGGACATTGAAACCAGTTACCGTTTCTCGAACTAATATAGTACTGTACCTTATCTTGATCATTTTCCTGTAATTTATTGGATTTTTAATGTTGCGTCTAAAAACGGAATGTGCTGATTTATTGATTTTATCTGATGTTTCTTAATGGATACATGGTGAATAATATTATGATTCTTAGTCAATCAGTACCATTACACAGTAAATGATGCTAAATTAGTCAAGTATGGCATTTTGTTATAATTATGGGCATAATAATCAATTTCTGGTTAGAAAGCCTCAATTCTTGTGTGATGATATGGTGTCGTACAGTGATAATTTTGTAATCAAATGTCTTAAGTAGAATTGAAGGGCATCAATTTCGAAAGGAACATTTACGTCTGATTCACTTTATAATAAAGTTTTATCGATTACCTTGGATACAATGGTTTAATACGTCATATGTTTCTAATGTTAGTAACGGTGTTTTGTGAATTTATGGTGGATTCAATTTTTAGATATTTACATTTGCCTTATTATGACCTATTAATCGACGTATCTACAAATTTGGATTAAAGTAGTATGCGTATGACTGCACTATAACAGAAACTACTGAAAATTTAATAATTATAGTTTACACATACAAAATCGACTCTTAGAATACCACAGAATGCTCAGTGATATCTAAATACGTCGTACATACTGTACGCATACATCATTTAAAGCCGAAGATTTAGACATAAAGTTTTCGATAAAGACAAGGAATACTGTTTTATTAAAATCGCCTTATCGAAATTACTTTAACGTTTCATTATTGCGCTACCAATTAGTTACAATTTTAAATTTCTTTACGAGTACGAAGCTACCGAAACACGAGCAATCAATAATTTTAATGAATACAGTCGAAAATAGCTCCCAAAATAGCTACAATTGAATGTGAAAGCAAAATTTTCAAACTGTTGGGCATTTTTTTTCAATTTGATCTCCATTTCAAAAATATATAATGCTGCTCATCAATAATATATTGTACATAGAACTAAAGTACATGTCGTTAAATTTTAGTAATAATTCAAGTTGTTTGTACAGTATCTTGAATTTTAAATCAGATCAGCACAAACATTGTTGTTTGCATAATTTCAATCTAAAGGTAATAAATTGTAAAATGGTTTATTCTAATGATAAACTATACAGTCTTTAACGAATTTTCTTCAGCTTTTTCACATCCAGTATTTGAGGTCAATACCAAATTATAATCCTCTTATACATTTATTAAGCTGATAGTAGCATCTCCAATTCTTTTTCAAAGTGTCTTATTATTCGATGATTTAAGAATAAGAGCTACAGAAGAAATATTTGTTTCAAATTAATACGTAATTTCTGCGGTGAACATTAGAGAAATAACCAGGACACACACAGTCTTACCTGCCCGTTGGGCAGAAATCGGTTAACTATTGCGGCTATACGATCCACCAATAGAACAGGCTATGAAATAGATAAGAATCTGAGTATGACGATCATCATCTACTTGTATACATTAAGTTAAAAATACAGAAGATAGTATATACAGAACCGCAAAGAATGAGAAATATAATCTACAGTATCATATACGTACCTCCGTTCCTTGTGAAGTGTTTTTGATATGGGGTTGTAGGAATTTGCAAAGCAATCGCAAAGTGTTTTCAGCCAACATGCGATTTTCATGAGTATCGCATACCAATGCAAATCCATTGCTATTTTTAAATTAATGAGGTTATAATTGAAATTACAATTTTACCATTAAATACTTTTTTCACAACCACATGTATTAATAATAAAAAATATTCCATAGTTGATTAATTCTTTATCTGTAGCAAATTGTAAGTAAAATAATAGGCGAGATACTGGACGATTTGATATATTAATATAACCTGAAATTTTTGATAGGGTAGGTAATAAGAATACTAAGTGTAGCTACATAAAAGAACTTTTTCCTCGTAAGCGTTGACACAATAGTACCAGTACGGTATGAAGTTAAAGGCACTACAAAAATTATTCCATTTGCAAGCTAATATATTAAGAGATATTTAACATTCTCGTACGCGTAGCTCAATTAAATTGTATCTTAAATCTATTTTATATATTTTCATCAAATCAGCAATATTTTGCTAGAATTAATGGTTCGATTAAATGGGAATACTAACTTGTCACGTCCAAGCCAAAGGATAGCCTTTTCGCTTTCGAATGGTTCCCCACGAAGTGATCGAAAGGCGCCTCCTTCCAAATTTAAACCATATCTGTGTATTAATTTAAGATATTTGAAATTTTATGAATATAGTAACAGTAGCAACACATCATAGGCAACAGATGACTATTAATCAATCGAAAGTGCATTCCCTAAGTATGTATGTGAGATACTTTTAATTATAGGCCGTAACAGACTAGTATTTGACATAAATTGTTATCGATTTTAAACTATAATATATAGATATGTTATATACCTAATTACGCAATGCATCATACTTTACCAGAGTAGCCGATAAGTCGTGATATAAATACTGATAGAATGAACAGCCGAATCGATAATTACGTATGAGTAAATATACTACACATATATTCTTTAATTAATTAGTCATACTCTGCTGATGCCACCAATAATTCATCATAAAGGTCGCTCCTTTGTGTAACTCGTTTGAATGAGTATTCCGATTGTACACGTTGAGCAATGGCTAGTAATTTCTCTTTCCGGCCACTGCGATCTTCGACGTGTCCATTCTATTGTAATAGAGTGAAAATTCAGTTAGCATGGCAAACTGGCCTATTACAGTAGGATGTTTAATAAATGAATAAAATCAATCAATTTATACTCGAATACTGTACACTGTACTATGAGCCGTGTACACTCACTGTGCAGTAGTGGCAATCATTCAAAAAGGACTTCGAAATAAATGCCATGTAGTGAAGATTAATTAACAATCAATTTTTAGAAAATTTGAACGGATCACTACAAGAGTTACTAGAAGTCATTGGTTACTATACTGTATTCTATGATATGCGTACGTATTTCGATGTACGCGTAACTCTGGTTAATAGCGAACATGTGGATGGTAGAGATGCTTCGTGAAGTTATAATTTACTGTATTCTTATACAGTATTGCATATCAACAGGCCATCGTAGCATATGTTGTTGAACTCTATAGGCTTATATTTCCATGTAGTAAAGGATATTATTGCAACTAGTTTAGTAATATTATACACGTAAAATAGCGGAAGTTGCATCAAATTGTCGACGGCGTTCAATGATTAATTCATCACTAACTTAGAATATGGATGTTATATAAATGCTAGCGTAGTCCAAAGCAACTAAGCATCTTGCCTCTACATTCTACTTGTTTTAATTATTATAATAACCATGACGATGATCATCACTTACCGCTTTGCTATCGCTGCAGAATGTGATGGAATAGAATACTCTGCAAGTTCCAGGTAAAAGGCTATGGATAACAAAACTATGCACCATTTCGTGGTGTTGAAGATACTTCCTACTCTCCTGTAACCAGCACGTAGTACAATATACTTCAATTAGCTTCAACCATTAGTCTATGATAATATAGACGATAAATTAAAACTTACAACAGGCTTATGTAATTAAGGTGAATGGAAATTTCCTTTATTAACCAGGTCAGCCATGTTCTCCATGGATACTGTGCAAGCTTGCAGGAGCATACTGTACAGCGTACAGTACAGGAGCTGAAAGAGCCGCTGTTCCAGTCGCGTCCGTCCCATCCCACATACCGTACCGAACAGTGTACAGTACTGAGTACAGTACAGTTTCTACAATACTGTGTACTGTACACTGTACCGTATAGTACCGATCTTACGTCTGTAGGGGTAATAAAACCTTTATGGTGGAGATGCTGAACTTCGTCTAACTGCAATCTTCTTGAGCTATGCAGCATTCAGGTAATTAATTAAATAAATAAATAAAGATGCCTTTTACCTAAAGAGAGACTGGCAAAGTCCTGGCTAAAAACATGTCTAAACATATCGTAAAGGCGGTAAAGCAAGAACGTATCTGATTGGACGCAGACACGGATGGACTGGCAACTATTTTGGGTCCATCTGCACCAATTAGATACGTTAACCTTTTTGGAACGATATTTGTGAATGTGAAGACAAAAATTGAGAGTTTTTACCAGTCTCTCTTTAGGTACAGGGTCTCTAGTACTCAACTTTCTTGCAACTAAAGGTAAAAATTTTATCATGAATAAATACAGTAAGTCAACGATGAACTAAAAATATTAAAATAGATTATTTCTATTTGCAATATTGTTATTGTTGTATAATAGGATAAATTCTGGCAGTAATTCATTTTGGATGTGATTACAATTTTCAGCTCCTAGTGCAACTATTGCAGACAAGTTTTATTTTGCAATTGCAAATAATTTGAAAGCTATGAGCTAGTTTTAGTGAAGGTTGGCTCTACTGTACTCTGATTAATTATATAAGTTGCTTAGTAAAGTATACAATGTACAGTACATACAGTGTACAGTATAGTATTGCATAGTTAAATATATTGTCTGTAAAGAAATGAAGTACTGTATTGATATGGATTATTCTGTTTTGCAATCCTTTCTCGTATAGTTATATAATACGATTTAACTTTGCAGTAGTTAATTCCAGATTGGATGACAGTTGTAAACAAGTTTTATTTTGCAATTACAAAGAATTTTCAAAATCATTGGCCAGCTTAGCAAGGATTACTATGTGTAATAAGTTGCATAGTTGAGTAGGCTGTCCGTGAGTGAATTAGCTAACAGGTGAAGTATCAATATGGATTTTTCCGTTTTACAATCCTTTGAATGTACATTGTACAGGATATTATGAGGAGACTTTGCAGGACAGTCTGTAGTTCATTTCAGATGGATGACAGTATTCAACTCCTAGTGCAATTATTGTAAACGAATTCTATTTTATGATTGTAAGTAATTTCAAAATCAGCAACCAGCTCTTAATTAAAGTTAGGTCTGCTGCATTACATTGCATCATGGAGTCAGACATGGACTACCAAATCTTACCTATAACACACAGTATTAAACCTTTGAGCTATGTTTCTTACTAATTTTCATATATTTTACGCTATCAATGATCTTAAACTAAGTAATTGCAGTCTTGTTTACGACATTTTAGCTGGGTTGTCGTTCTGTTATTGGCTAACGCTACCTAAACCTGTTTTAGTTCGTGTGCATGTTGCGTAGGTATAAATAGTAATATGTCATATACTTAAAGAAGGTATAGACTAGAGGTTACAGTACTGTACGGTAGTAGAATAAAGAGTAGAAGCACTAAATAAAAGTTTCGACTAAGAAAAGTGTAGTCTCTTTGTTGGAAAATTTCCTCGTTACAAATCGAGATTTTGTAACAAGTATCTATGTGGATTATTTCATTTTGCAATATTTTGACTATGGATATACAATATCATGAAATCTTGCAGTAGTTAATTTCAAATGTGATGCCAGTTTTTAGCTTCTGTTATGGAACGCTGGCTTCTAGCATAACTGTACTGTAAACTAGTCTTATTTTATAATTGCAAATAATTTCAAGATTGTTAACTACTTTTGCAAAGGTTAGCGCTGCTGTAATTCGTATATTCCATAGCTGATCATCGTATGAGATAGTTATATTAGCAAATACGTGAGGTATCGTTATGGATTACTTCATTTTGCAATACTTTATGGGCTAACGATGCAATGAAATCTCATGGTAGTTAACTTCACATTTGCTGACAGTTTTTCCAATTCCTAGTACAACCATTACAAAAACAGATTTTATTCGACGATTGCAAATAATTTCAATAAATTACTCTTTTGAAGTAGTGTTGTACGGGCGGCTGATGGCTAAAACTCAGTTTGCAATATAGCAATTATTATTAATTGCATTGCATTAGCTAGCATTTATCATCTTAGTTAAGATAACGATCTCAACTAACCCAATATATCATGATATTTTAAAATGAGGTAGAATAAGAATGATGGCTGCTACAGGTTCACAAAGTTTAAAGTGTAAAGTAAGTACCGTATAAGTCATTCTCCACGATCATTTATTAATTTAATCCAAATAAGATTAACTGTAATATCTAAGTTCTATTTAACATTGTGCATATGTAATTAGTGTCACAAGCGTGTTAACTAACACCACATTGCGCGATATCAGTTAAAGATTGGTATTCGTGATGTATTTAATAGGCTAATTGCCCAGTTCCGCATACTATTATGCATAGTACAATATCAGATAGTAATTTTCGAGCGGTCGTTGAGAAATGCAATCTAAAGTACATAATTATCATTCTTTTTGAATTTTTAATAAAATTCTGATTTTCTAAAGTCTTGATAAAATTGATTGCCCACATACAATTATTTGCCATTTCAACTTAGAAGCTGCACATATCTACTCATGTAATACATATTCGCGTATGTCAACTAGGTCGAACTGCATAATCATTTGGACGGAGCGCTTCGTGCTGAAACAGTAATAGATTTAGCTAGGTAAGTATATTTAGATTGTTGGTATAGACACAATCATAGGTACTAGTACTATAAATATAAGTGATCATGGTACATTTTAAACATAACATTCAGTATTTGAAATGATTTTCGTAAATAGGTTAAATACCACATTTCAAATTTTTACGGTAACTACAGCATATTCTGCTTATAAATTATAAATTGATTACAGTTGCAAGAGAGCAAATAGCCATACTGGATTTAACAATTTAAAGTATCAGACTTTTAAGCTTTACGACGTATACTTCGTTAAATATTAAATTTTGCTTCGCCATAATTCAGAACAATGCTATTTTTTTCTTTACATGCATTGCTTATTAATAGCTTCAGTTAGATAGTTCGGTCAAATTTGTAAATTGAGTAACCAAATTTGAATAATGACTGATGAATATGATTTTAATTATAGGAGTAAAGGTATTGAATTGCCCGTAGACAATGCAAGACAATTTAAAGAATTCGTTTCCTGTGCCAACGAGACAGACCGATCTTTAAAGAAATTTTTGGAGCCATTTGCTGTTTTCATACCGGTTATTAGGTGAGCCTAAAAATCTCTATTTTTTCTCTTATCCATTAGTTCGTCGGTTAATCTACATTAATTACAAGATATTCATTATTCATGCGCCTTATATGAATACTATCAGCAGTTAGTGTTAACAACCATCGCTTCTTTCATAAACTATGCATAGGCTTCTTATAAGATACTAAATTGATCGAGTGAAATAGTAGTATATTTCCTATTAGGTCTTCATACATTATACACATATGTTAGTTTTGGAGACTAACAATGGTTTAGTTATTCTATAAATATTTACTATCTTACAAGCTACCAATAGAAAATCTAGATAGGGTATGGCAAGCTTTGAACTTTAACAATACGGTGTATTGCAGCCTAAATATGGGTTAAAAATGAGTAGCTTAAGTGGATATACGCGTATGTTATTATGGCGGTTATCGACTCTATAAATTTTAATAATAACGGGATACTTTATAGATCATTTGATTATTCTGCTGGTATACTGTGCCCAAAATTATGACCTGTTTCACTATACTACATTAGAAACTTGAAATTTCGGTGTAATACTATAATTTATGCATTACTGTACTTCTTAGTACAATAGAATATCTAAATTTTTTCAATTAAAATTCATCTAGTGGTGATCCTCATGCCCTTCGTCGGTGTGCAATAGAATTTTGTGAAGATCAGGCAAATCAAGGTGTCTTATATACTGAGGCGCGTTATGCTCCGGGATTGTTGACCAGCGGAACATCAAATAATGACGCGACAGAAGGCGATAAATTAACTAGCGAACAAGTGCTACTTACTATAGTAGATGGATTAGAGGAGGGATGTCGACGGTACGGAATCAAAGTTAAAAGTATTCTTTGTTGTCTTCGAGGTTGTCCAGGTAAAATTACTTTCAAGGTTTGAAGTTCGATATTAATACAAGTATATGGTGTATTATTAATTGTCATATTTGTTGATACTAACATCACAATATTTTAATTAGTACAATACTATTATATACAGGGTAAAAATTAAAAAATAATTAATATCGGTACATAGTAGCAGTTGTTATAGATTATATTATGTTGTAAAACTTGATCACAGTTTTCCATTTTATTGTCCCATGATAGTTTTAAACTCTACCGCCATTGTTTCTGCGTTGAAAGGGTTTATAATCTATATATTTTCGATGTTATAGACTCAGCTACTGAAACTATCGAACTATGCAAAAAGTATCATAGAAAAGGAGTTGTGGGTATTGATATAGAAGGAAATGAACTAGAAGATAGTATTAAACCTGGTGATGAATTTTGTAAAGCTTTTCAAGTGAGTTTGTACAAATGTTGTTATTGGGATCGAAAGTGTTTGTTTCCTCATTATGAAAACAGTTATTCCTTGTAATATTAAAGGAAGCCAAGAGATATGGTATTCATAGAACAGTTCACGCTGGAGAAGCCGGAACAGCCGAAAATATTCGCCAGGTTGGCGTTAGTTACGTTATTTACACATAAGACTATATAAAGAGAATTAGTGTACATTAAGGTATCAACAACATATTGGCAGAATATTCGTAATCTGCTAGTATCGCTAGCAACGTATTGCAATGTCATATTAAGTAAGGCAGTGCTATTTTTATCGGTTGAGTCCGAGAGTGTATGATGTATAGTTAATAATTTCGCTATAATAGGCAAATTTCTGATCTTAAAAAATTGCAAGAGTCACTAGAAAATTCATTAGAATGGTCTCTAAATGAAAGTTTATTAATTTTATGCGACTGGTACTATCTTCTAAAAATAAGATTTTAGAAGTGAACTCTATTTTTAGAGTATTCGAAAAGAAGGAAACTACAGCGATAAATACTACAGAATGTAGAAATATTCATTCGATTTTCTCAATTGTCCGGTAAATTACCATTGTTTTGCATGCTAGCCTGTACTGTATTCCATAGTGTACAATTATAAATGGCAACGTGTATGTTTTAAAATGGTTGAATGATAAAGTACAGTATATAGTAACATGAGTTTGAACTAGAATAAAGGATGAGATATCGTAAATGAAGTATATTGTCTGATTTATTTTATAATTAATTATCTTATACAAATCGGACTGAAAGTGTTATGCATATCCTGTAGTCGATATAATTTATAATTTAAATTATTTTATGATATCTGGCATGATATTGTATGTAGACTGTTGTGTATTTTCGTTACTATACTAACATTAACTAAGTCTAAGATTCAGATATATGACATAGACATTATCTTGTGATTGCATTTGATGTAGTAAATGATCCTAATGGTTTTAATCAAATCCACTCGTACTATTACCTCCACTATTGAACAGAGTTAATAGCTCTTTATGCAACACTATACAGTATTATAAAATTCTGAGTATTTGCTATATCTCGATAATCAATTTATTAGTGGATATGAAAGTGTACATTATTAGAAAGGGAAACCAATAGATATTTTTCTATTACAATAATATGTTGATATATTGGTAGAGTTTGGATTGGCTAAGCGCTGAAAGAATCGGTCATGGATATCAGTTAGTGGAAGATGAAAGTTTACTTGAAAGGGTCAAGAAAGAACAAATCCATCTGGAAGTTAGCTTAATCTGTTACTATTTTAACGTAATCTTTTATAGTGATGATTTATTCTATTCTCATCATTACAGGTTTGCCCGACATCTAGTATACTTACAGGTTCCTGTTCAAGTTTTGATAATCATCCCGCTAAACGGTTGATTATATCATATTTAGATCCTAAATTATCTCCATTTGTAAATTATTTAAGTTTATTGAAACTTCGTCATTACTTCGGTTCTTCTACTAGATTTATTAACGAAGGGCTAAATTTTTCTATAAACTCCGATGATTCTTTGTGTTGTAATTCTGGTGTTGCCGATGAATATAAATTGGTTTACAATAAATGGGGTTACGGTGCTTCAGTACTGACGCGAGCGGTAAGATGAATTGTCAATGATTAAATGATTTTTTTTTGTGGTAGATCTTTTAAATTAAATACTTAAGTTATTTTTGATTCATTTTTAGAATAAAATATCCAGTTGCAATCAATGTTGATTAATTGTATACGTGTTGTCTGTGTCTATTTCGAATATTAAAACACCCATTATAGACATTTAATGCAGCTCGTTCGTCATTCTTACCAGAAGAAGAAAAGCAACAATTAATTAATGACTTGGAAGAAATCTACGGTATGAAGGTATAAGACTGGTCCCTACAACGATTCACCAAGAGCATGAAAGGGATGCGATGATTGCATGCTACAGGTGGTGGTTGCCATTACTAATCAATCGAAATGGCATCTGGCGTCTACATTAATTGCGGTTAACCTTAATTTGTAAACTACAATCTGGTTAAGGTGATAATTAATTATAAAGCAACCGATATTAAATTGTCTTAAGAATTTAAAAATGATGTACAACTACGATTGCTCCGGAGTGTATTCAAAATAAATTTTATTTTGCTGATTATATTGTTATAGTATTCAATCTTTCAATGCAGTCCATTCAAATTGACTTAGCGTATCGGATTTTCTGCAACTTCTTTTGATTTATATTTCCACAACAGTAAAACGTAAAACGAATTTTAGCGCATTGCAACACAGACACACATGTGCATGTAGCAGCTCACATCAATGTATCAGTGTTCTGATAATTTTAGAGTCCATATTGACTCCTCTATGTACAGTATACTTGTATAGGATTACACTAATAAGCGTATAATCAGGTTGTTATTACGGTGATACAATGGGATAGCAATCTATTCAATTTGAGTATCAATTAATAACGTATAAATACACGTAAGTGAGTCTTTCATTTCAAATAAAAAATTAGTGTCCTATATTATTGTATTTCTCAGCTAGTCCAGTCATCATAGATTGCACTGCTTGCAGGATTCAGCGTTGTACTACATAATTCAATGCCTGTAGTGTTTTGCACTACGTACGGTTAGTAAGTCCTGACGATAAATTTGCTGTTGCCTCTACACATAGTCATGACAGTCAATGGGTATTGTGCTGTGAGAAATACTGATATTGTGATACTTTCGTAATTAATTGTAAAAGAAAGAAAGAAAGAAAAAAAAGCCTAATACCGTAATGACATTATCAGTCACGATGTTGATTGAAGTAACACCCTATAACCAAGATTCTTTATCGAACATACTGTACACAGGCGTTCCGCGCTTACAGTGCAGTATGTTTTTCTGGTATTTATATGCTCATGAATCATGATTAATGATACTGTCGTTTACGATAGTACTTACATGAAGGCAACATACAGTACTGTAGTTTAACGCCAGCACTTTTGCGCGGCATCATCTACTTATTACAATCCATATTCATTGTTGGAGTAAAGGATTGCGTGAAGCTTCATGAAGCGAAATACCCTTTGTATCGTATATTGCATGCCTTTTTTATAATGTCGAAAAATTATAAGTAATCACTAAACGTTTCATAGGTTGCTAAAGCGATTCCGCTTCAAACGTATTATCGTCCAATTGATTTTTACTATAGTACAGTAACTGTATCCTTCCTTATATGATAGCTATAACCAATCAATATCATTGCGCTCTAATAGCGACCAGTATGCTATTACTGTAATAAGGAAGTTCAAAATGAATTCAACAACCAACCAACAGTCAGCAACGGTAGATTCTCAGTTATTGATTACGAAAGACTATCGCAGTACCTTTTTATTGATAACTCTGTCAGACTGAAAGATAAGTCAATTTACGCTTAGGCCAGCAACAGCAGTACAGCATAATAAAATTGTAACAATTACACATGATCATCTACGATATTGTATTACACTTTTTATTAATCTAAATATATCAGGGGCATCAGGATTGATTATTTCTTGCCCTTAGTAGCCTTTTGCGCAGACTTTGTGACTTTACCACTCTTCTCTACTTTTTCAACTTTCTTGATAACACCAACTGCTACAGTTTGTTTCATGTCACGGACGGCGAAACGACCCAATGGAGGATATTCGGAATAAGATTCAACGCACATAGGCTTACTTGGAGTTAGGGTAGCAATGGTAGCATCACCACTCTTGACGAATTTGGGGTTTTCTTCTAACTTTTTACCACTTCGACGATCGATCTTCTCCTTTAAGGCGGTGAATTTGCATGCAATATGAGCAGTATGGCAGTCCAATACTGGAGCATAGCCAGGGTTGATCTGACCAGGATGATTCAAAACAATAACCTGAGCATCGAAACACTTGGCTTCTTTTGGAGGATCGTTCTTAGAATCACCAGCTACATTGCCACGACGGACATCCTTTACAGAGACGTTTTTGACATTAAAGCCGACATTATCACCGGGAAAAGCTTCAGTCAAGGATTCGTGATGCATTTCAACGGATTTAACTTCAGTAGTAACGTTGACTGGGGCAAATGTGACAACCATACCAGGTTTTATAGTGCCAGTTTCGACACGTCCAACAGGAACGGTACCAATACCTCCAATCTTGTATACATCCTGTAAAGGTAAGCGCAATGGCTTATCTGAAGGCCTTTTTGGAGGCAAGATAGCATCGAGGGCTTCAAATAAGGTTTTACCACTGGCGTTGCCTTCCTTACGTTCTACTGACCAACCCTTAAACCATTTCATGTTTGTACTTTCTTCTATCATGTTATCGCCATGCCAACCGGAGATGGGAACGTAGGCTACTGATTTGGGATTATAACCGACTTTTTTGATATAAGTGCTCACTTCTTTTACGATTTCATTATAACGGGCTTCACTATAGGGTGGCTCAGTGCTGTCCATTTTATTAATGCCAACGATCATTTGCTTTACACCAAGAGTAAAAGCTAATAAAGCATGTTCACGAGTTTGACCGTTCTTGGAAATACCGGCTTCGAATTCACCAACACCGGCAGCAACGATCAGTACGGCACAATCGGCCTATAGATTGAAGCATGAATAGGCTAGCTTTTAAAAGAGGGAGAATTTATCGCAGTCTACCGAGTCATTTTTGTCTAGAAAGAGTACAAGAATTTTTTTGGACAAGTATCGTAGTCATTTACCTGAGATGTACCAGTGATCATATTTTTGATGAAATCTCTGTGACCAGGGGCATCAATAACGGTGACGTAATACTTGGTAGTTTCAAATTTCCATAGGGCAATATCAATCGTGATACCACGTTCGCGTTCAGCTTTTAGTTTGTCTAAGACCCAAGCGTATTTGAATGAACCTTTACCCATCTAGAGGAGAAAAAACCTTACCGTTATGAATTCAATTTTAATTTTGGTATAAAGAACTAATAAATCCGGTTACAATAATTGATCCAATCCAAAATGAAAAGCAATTTGGCTTCCCTCTCTGGTATAGATCGATTGCACTTACTTCTTGGGCTTCTTTTTCAAATTTTTCAATGGCTCGCTTATCGATACCACCACATTTGTAGATCAAGTGGCCGGTACTGGTAGATTTACCAGAGTCGACATGACCAATGACGACAATGTTAATATGTATCTTTTCCTTACCCATTGTAAGATTTGTCTGATGTCAGCCTACTGTACTATAGATTGAAAAAATAGCAACCTTTAGTGGGATATTTTAAGCTCCGGATGACAAAGTGGTCAGGAGAGGGAAAAAAAAAATCTCTATCACGGAGGAACGCTACTACTGTACTCCTCTCTTTCCTCCTTATACATAAACAACTACTTGAAAAACAACTTTGATCCAGTGTCATCCTTTACAATACAAGCTAGCTGACTATTCCAACTGATTTTTTACCATCGGAACAATAAAAAATGCATCTCTACAGGCTCTAGCAATTAAAAAAAAGATGGCGACATGTGGAGAATGAAAGATGCGTCAAGTTTAAAAAATTGCCATCATCTTCATCTCATCGACTTGTAGGAAAAATGACGTTGATGCTATCGTACATTCATGATAGTCGCAAAAAGTAAGGTTAAAAATGCAAAAAAACTGGTGATGACAAAGATTGAAATGCGATTTTAACGAGTAACATCGTCAAGGCTTACCAAGCTATCACGCTGCAACTGAACGACGAAGAGAAAGAGAACGAACGATTGAATCGCCTCGCATAAGAACAATTCTTCGCCTAGGGGGGGGTTGAGCACAATTGATCTTTCCAACGTTGTCATCATAACTTTGTTATGTGATAGGGTAGCGTGCGCATGTTCACAATACCTTAAATTGTCCAAGCCTCGGATTATGGGCTAAATACGGCGGTTGTCATTGTTGAAGACTGAAGACTGTAACACTGAGTGCGTGTGGCTATTATTGTCCAAGTCGTCCCAACTAGTCCCCACTACCCACTAGTGGAGTGGTGGTGGTGTCATCGGGCCCGCAACACTGAATTGTACGTGTGGCTATTGTTGTCCAAGTCGTCCCAACTAGTCCCCACTACCCACTGGTGGAGTGGTGGTGTCATCGGGCCCGTAACACTGAATATGCGTGGCTATTATTGTCCAAGTCGTCCCAACTAGTCTCCACTACCCACTGGTGGAGTGGTGGTGTCATCGGGCCCGTAACACTGAATATGCGTGGCTATTATTGTCCAAGTCGTCCCAACTAGTCTCCACTACCCACTGGTGGAGTGGTGGTGTCATCGGGCCCGCAACACTGAATTGTACGTGTGGCTATTATTGTCCAAGTCGTCCCAACTAGTCCCCACTACCCACTGGTGGGCTGGTGGTGTCATCGGGCCCGTAACACTGGATACGTGTGGCTATTATTGTCCAAGTCGTCACAACCAGTCCCCGTTACCCACTGGTGGAGTGGTGGTGTCATCGGGCCCGTAACACTGAATACGTGTGGCTATTATTGTCCAAGTCGTCCAAAGTACAGTACTCCAAACTAGTCCCCCACTACCCACTGGTGGAGTGGTGGTGGTGTCATCGGGCCCGTAACACTGGATACGTGTGGCTATTATTGCCCAAGTCGTCACAACCAGTCCCCACTACCCACTGGTGGAGTGGTGGTGGTGTCATCGGGCCCGTAACACTGGATACGTGTGGCTATTATTGCCCAAGTCGTCACAACCAGTCCCCACTACCCACTGGTGGAGTGGTGGTGGTGTCATCGGGCCCGCAACACTGAATACGTGTGGCTATTATTGTCCAAGTCGTCCCAACGAGTCCCCACTACCCACTAGTGGAGTGGCGGTGGTGGTGTCATCGGGCCCGCCACACTGAATTGTACGTGTGGCTATTATTG